TCTGTGTAACTCTGTTTGTTCTCTCTCTCTCTTGTCTCCAGGTGTCAGTGGTGTACCACTCTCTGGACTTTGAGCCTGTGAGCTTCTTTGCTCTGGGGTCTCCCATCGGGATGTTCCTCACAGTCAGGGGTCTGGAGCGAATCGAGGAGAACTACCACCTCCCCACCTGCAAGGGCTTCTTCAACATCTACCACCCGGTACTTCAGGAGTTATACATACTATTCATTTTATTATTGTTTATTTACTTGGCTCTTCATCAGCTGTCGCTAACATGACAGCTGCTCTTACTGTCTCTACAGATAAAATTTTCAAAACGTATTTATTTTTTCTAATGGGTGTGGACTTGTGACACATAATATCATTCTGGCTGATTTCATCCCTAATGGGTGTCCTGCAATTAAACATGTTAAAATCTAATACTTATATTACTGAAAGCATTTATGTATATTTATCCACAATATTTTGAGAATGATAGCATTTTGTTTGTATAAAATTATGTTGGATAATTCCCTTTTCACAACCCAGTGCGCTCCTGCTGGCAATAGTCTTCCAAAAGACATAAGCTGTGGTTTCCAAATGTATATTACCTGAACCTTATTGATCATTGTATGTGTGCTTTATTAATAACAATAATTAATCTTTTCTTGTAGTTGGACCCGGTGGCGTATCGCATTGAGCCTCTGATCATACCAGACCTGGAGCTGAAACCTGTTTTAATCCCACATCACAAAGGAAGAAAGAGACTCCATCTCGGTAAAACATTCACATGATTTAGATACTAGATTTAGTTTCCTCACCATGGCATTACCATTGTAAAGGTATTTCTGTTTTTGTAGAAATGTGGTAATAAATGCTAATATCTTTGCCTCATGTCATTAAGAAAACACTCAAAAACAAAGCTAACTGCAGTTTAACCATTAGGAAGTTAATTGTTTTTAAATGACTTGCGTGTTTGTGGGTATATGTGCAGGCTTTTGTGTTTTGTTGTTGCCCGTATGTAATAAATATCAATGACTGTGACTGCTATTATGTTTGGAGCTAATGGGGATCTTTAAACTAAACACCGAATTACCCTAAAGCAAAATTGCACATCACTACAAATTAGAGAAGTCTCTTAAACTTTCCTACACTGGGTCATTTTGATCATTTTATCTTGTTTTGTATTAATTTGACATATTTTTCCCATACATCACCTTGAACTTTTTAAACTTTAACTATTGTGGGAACTTTTGCATTTGCATTTTAGGTCTGAAGTAGATGGTTACCCATTTTTTGACATCAGGAAGGAAGGAAAATTATAATTGCAGTTTTCGAGATTAGCTAATTGCAGCCATTCAAACTGTGATTTAGATTTGATTGCAATTTGTCTGTGATATTGTGAATAATCAGTCTGTAAATATGTTTTGTTCCCTCAGAGCTGAAGGAGAGCCTGACGCGGATGGGCTCAGACCTGAAGCAGGGTTTCATCAGCTCTCTGAAAAGCGCCTGGCAAACTCTGAACGACTTTGCCCGCGCTCACACCTCCTCCGCGCAGCTACAGGCTCAGCTCGCCATCGTCGCGAACCAGATCGAAGAGGAGGAGAAGAGCGCGCAGCAAGGTCAGTCCACTTTATCACTGTAAACATGCTCGGAGTAGTTCACATTCCTGCTAGCATTCCAGCGAGGGTTTTCTTTTGCTGAGAACTCCAAGGGAAAAGTTGTCCATCTGTAATTGAAAAAATAGAATGCCCATTGCTTAAAATAAGATATTGAATGCATAAGGTAATAAATAAAGTATACCTGTTAAAAAATGTTAAAAACTAAATCGATAAGTGGGGCCTGGTGGGTGTTTTGCCCGCCTAAAAGCAGATAAGATTCTAGCCCAAAATCTCATGCTTTTATATACGGTAGGTTTGAACATGAAACAGAGCTCAGACTTTCCCCTTGGACTAAATGTGGTCTATTACACAAATATCTTGACTAAATTAGGACTAAGGCCCAATCAGACCAAGGGTATCAAAATGATAATTCTACTAAAAAGAAAACATTACTAAATAAACCTATACTTGTACTTTTTAAATGTTTTGTCCAGAGGAGAAGAGGGACATTGAGACCCCAGAGCCGCAGAGGGAGGAGGAGCCTCAGGTGAAGATCGGGATGTTGAACGGAGGGAACAGGATCGACTACGTTCTTCAGGAAAAACCCATCGAGAGAGCTTCAACGAGTATCTGTTTGCTCTACAAAGTCATCTTTGCTACTGGTATGGCCTGGTTTATATTCACTTTGAAAATACTGTGAAGATCTGATGTTAGGCCTGAAAAATATATCACAAAGGCTGCTCTTAATACTAGTGATGATAATTAGATAATTTCCTCTGCAAAGAACAATTATCCTCTCCTTTTTAAAGAAAAAATCCTAACATTTAGACCTCTACAAACCTTAGTTTATCCATTCATATTTCAGTTTTCCATCATTAATACTCCTGGAGTTGTTTACCTTGTGCACTCTGAACAGAATCCTACCTTTTAAACATACATCACAATTATCTAATCATAATACTCGTGCAGCCATAAGATCTATCCTTCAGTCAATCCCAAAGTATCTGTAATCAATACATTAGTTTTTAATCTTTTGTTCTTCATTTTATTCTTTATTACAAATATTTTAGATAACCCTCAATGTCATAGCCACACAAGTTTGGTATTTTAATCTGTTGCAAACTGCATTAAAGTCAAACCCTCCAAAAAACAAATCTTATGTCTTTCATTTCCTATTTACAAACAATACCAGTGCATTGATTGACTTATTATTTTCATATTTAATAATAATATATTTTATTTATTAGGCTCCCTTCTGGACACTCAAGGTCGCCTTACAACAACATAAACAAATTAAATACTATGAAAACATACAGTTAAAAAGCATACAGTTAAAGTTAGGCAGTATTTTAATTGATTTATTTTATAATTTATAATAATAATATAATATGTATAATTTGTTAGATTTATTTATCAATTTATACGCAAATAATATATAGCACTTTAGGGTAATCCTTTCTTTTTACGTGTTTTCTAGGGAGTCTGAAGACACAGCGCTGCTCATCCTCAAAGAGATCTACAAAACCTATGGGCATCCATCCAGAGCCGCTCGCTCATTAAAACATCGGGACAGAAATCCTTTAGTTTTACTGAAGCTGTTAATTTCTTATTTTCTTATTTCTATCCATGTAGTTTATTGTATTAAGGTGAAAAACACGCCTGTATGATGCCATTTGTCTTAATTAAGAGACACAAATGAGCAGATTTAAACTTTATATGACGTTTTATAGATAAATTATAGCAGGGTTTGAGTTTAGTGAAATTATATGAAATAAAATGTTAAAGATCCTATATTACACAAAACTGACTCTTGTGAGTTTTATGCCTTGTTGTAATGTTGTTACCTTCTCAAAAACAGACCTGGAGTTGTGCTTTGTTGCGTTCACATATTTGAGTGACCCTTTTAGTATTAGTTTGTCCACATTTCTAAACTGCAGAATCCTCTGTTCTTCCTTGTGACAGTTAACAGCTCCCTTCACCCTTTGTTCAGTTTAGATTGGAAATTCCAGAGCTGAAATTATTCACACGAAACATAAAAACACAGTGGAGCTCTTCCTGTATTACTTCACAAACTGGAACTGTGTTAATGTGTGTCTGTGTGTGTCAGTTTGAGAGAAGAACTCATCATAAATAGGCAGGATTTTTGTGTTAAACATGTGAAGGAAACAAAACACAGGTCTGTTTTTGACGAGGAAACAATCGAACAGAAATCATAAACTAGTGTAATATGAGCCCTTTAAATGAACAATAAGCAGCAGAGATGGGAGCACTTAATGCAGTTGGGTTTATTAGGGCCAAAATTCAAAATAAACTTCGCAGTGTTTTTATGGTATGTTGGACAATGAGTGGAAGACATTTCTCCTGCCAAAAGAGGAGACTATTTACAAGCGCTGGGATGTTTGAAATGTATTAAATAAGAGTATAAATGAGAGGAATAAAGCCTGCTCTATACAAATGTGTCCTTTTTTAATCCTGTTTCATTCTTTCACAGCCGTTGCAACAGCTGTACACATCTTTACGCTGCAAAAACTTAGTTAAAATCACTTGAGTAATTTTGACTGTGTGTGCTTTCTTTGAAGGTTTCATTTTAGACCAACGACAGCATCGGGCTTGGCAATAGATTTGATCTGAATCGAGATATTAAATATTTTCAAAATTATCAGCTTGCGTCTTTTTAACCGAAAGATCTACAGCCAAGGAGCAGAGTTTATGGAAGAACTTTGCCTGCTTTATCTGGTTCATGCTCATGAAGTCAACATAGAGCTCCAATTTTGTATCTGTTTTTGAAAATAAGTAAATCAAAGCCAAAATGTAGATCAAACAATGAGGCAAAAAAGAGTAACTGATGTTTTGCCATATTGCCTAGCCTTACATCAGCAGTATTCTTTCATGTTTTAAGCAAAATGATTCAATTTCTTCATTTAAATTAGAAATGACAATTCCAAAAATCTAGAGCAACAAACTCAAAACCTTTACAAGGTTCATATGCTGTATTCAAGTCATTTTAACTCATATATTCAGTTTTTGCAGAGCACAGTTCCTCAACCTTTCCCTTAAAATGCTTAGGCACCAAATAAAAACATTAAAAACATGTATAAACAATGCATCTTAGCAATATTTACAAGAGCAGCCAGAACATTCACTTCTATATTAAAGATTGTAGTGCTGTAAAAAGTTGTATTTTTGTAACACTGGTCAGACCTGAAAGTCTAACATGCAACAGTGAACCAACGTGCTTCAACAGATTGTCACAAAAGAAAGGTCCCTTTTTTCATCTTAAAAAAATAAACAAACAAAAAACTATTTGAACTTTATGGCCACAGAAAAATATACTTTTTCAGATCTTGGAAGTAACACAGAACCTTTCAATTCAACTGGGTTGTTCAAAAATGTGCAATACAATTTGTTATATTACTTAATACTTCTTACATATGTTGCTGTTTTGATTCAATTTTTTTATTCTATGCCTTGTTCACAAAGAGATGCATTTAGATACTTCTAAATGTTTTGAGCTTCTACCTCAACTCAATACTTCATGTTAAAGTTGTTAAAGACTAAGAAAACAACAGCTTAATGGGGATGCACCGATCCAGCTTTTACAGACCTGACATTGATATTTAAAGTTTTAAGAATATTTACAGATCCTTAAAGCTTAAATATCAATGTCTTATGTTATTTATCCAACTTTGTATGAATTAAAGCTCAAACATTAAGAGATCTGTGCAAACATCAGGCTGTAAATACTAATACAGTAAGGTGTTTTATCAAATAAAAAGCCCAAACAGGATATTTGCTGAACCAACACCACGGGGCTGACACCTGAGCTAGCAAATTTTTCTGAATTCGGTGCCAAAAGTCAATACCATTCCCAGTATAGGTGCATCCGTAAGCTTAATCCGAGACTTCTCTAGAACTTTTAATGCTTATAATTTGGTCTTGTAGTTAACGGGTTCAAAACTAGAGCTTTATTTAGTTAAAATGAGATTCATGCTTCTATAAAACAACATGTTGCAGTTTTAGGCCCAAAGTTTTACAATGTATAATTTACATTTTCTTACATTGTGCCATTGGACGGTATTCAGGTAGTTCAACTATTGTCTGCAGAAATTAAAGATGCACTATGTAACTTTTCTGGTGCGGGGTCTACCATCTGCTTGTCTCAATGGAGATATTATTGCTTTGCCTGGAAAGTTCCACAGTATGGCATTAAACTCCCATATAATCTCCATATAAAGACAAGCAGAAGAGACCATGAGACTGCAAGAAAGTATGTTTTTAAAGGTATTTTTGAGGACTAAAATCACCTGTAATGGAATAAATAATTGTTAGATAAGTTTAAGACTGTACTGTGGAACATTTCAGGCAAAGCAATATCTCCATAGCAACGAACCTCCTACTAGAAATGTTACATAGTGCGCCTTTAAGTAACACAAATATGGGTTCACATATAGGAAAATTAAGTTGAGATAGTAAGGTCAAAGACTTAATAAAAAGCTTAAATATGGTCATTTTTGTGTGATGTACATTTGATCACACTCCTTTCTACATTTACATTGTGCCCTTTGACAAAACCTACCAAAACATTTGCTGGTAATAATTGGTCTTTCTTTACAATTCTGTTCAAGTTTAATGAACCAAGTCTTCAATGAAACGTTCAGGAATGCCGAAGTCCTCCCAGAGGTTAAATATAAAGTTAAAAGATTAGTTAAGCAGCAGAGACTATGAAATAAAATAACATTAAGCATTGTAAAGATCAGTTTGAATGGCTTATGTTGTTCCAAAGTAAAACATCTGTCTCTTCTTTTCTCTCGCTTCGTCGGGCAGTTGTTCGTATGTCGAGCCTCCCAGCAGCGATTTAAATATTAAAATTGTCCCGTTTGATCGTATCATTTTGTGAAGCTTCACATTTTCACATTAATAAATGAACTGGTTTTGGTACATTCATTTGTCTCCGATGTGCAGTGAAATGCAGTGGGCTTCATGTAAACAGGCTTGGTCCAGTCTTCATGTTAAAGCTACACTGCAAAAATAATTGTCACACTCATGTAACGCCCTGTAACAACCTGTAATTACATTATATTTTATATTTTAATTTTGTATTGCGTTGTATTTTTATTGTATATTTAGGGAAGCAGGTAATTACAGTTTTGTTACAGGTTATTACATAAAAAGCATAGGTTGTACTTGAATTCAGAAGATTAGGGTCACACAGTACACACTTCATTGAATTTTTGTATTGTTTGCTCATTAAAAACCTAAAATTGTGTTTGATTTTACACACTTTTTTGAGTCATCTGTGTTTTAAAAAGGCCAAGAAAAATGCATGTGACCCTTAATCTTAGTCATTGATGATTTGTTGTTGTTTACTCCATGTTAAAATGCAAATAATAATAATATCAAAAGTGTTAAATTTGGATTAGACGAGAACCAAACCAAGTCTACATCAGGACTAAACTTGACTGAAACCAATTCGTCAAAACAACTCAAATTAATTGTTTAATATCCTGAATTCAAGTACCTCCTATTGATTTATTTTTACAGCGTAGTTTTCATTTCTCATCTCACTCCTCCCTCTTGCTCTGCGTCTTGAAAGCCTGTTTCCGGAGGTGGGCTTCTATCTCCTCTCTGAACACGAGCATGCCCAGGTGAGGGTGGGAGGCCTCGTTCATGGCTTTGGACTGGATGCACATGCGGTACTGCTCAGGGGTCAGTTCGTCTGCACACTGTTTCTCGTGCCAAAGGTGGAAAAGACTGGAGACCGGAGCTCGCACCACGATCACGTCACTGCGCAGGTATTTTTTATACAAATGTACGTCCTCTACACCCCAGCCTTTCACCTCCAGGTCAAAACCACCTGAAAAATGTGAGAGACAAGACATTACAACAGCGAATGAGACAACCAGAGCCACAGGGACCCAAGTGTGTCAGCACTTTGTAATATGACGTTTATGACCAATAGCGTTTCATTATGTGACTTAACAGTAAACACAGGTGTCTTTAAAAAGCCTGTACCTGATTTCAAACCATTATATTACTGCACCATGACACAAACAACTGTCTGGGATAGTGCCATGCATAGGTGGAGTTTGGGGGGTGTGTGGGGGTCAGGAAAGTCACTGCCCCCCCAGTTGCTGAAATATTTCACGACGTTGAGTCTATAATATGGCCAATACAAATAATTACTTTAAAAAAATTTATTAATATTTTAAATATGTCAATGAAACAAAAATATTGTATGAAATAAATATGAATCCTAGTCTAAACCAGGACTAAATCAGGACTGAACCAGGACTGAACCAGGACAGAACCAGGTCTAAACTAGGTCTAAACCAGGACTGAAACATGACTAAACCAGGACTGAACCAGGACTACACCAGAACTGAACCAGGGCTAAAACAGGTCTAAACCAGGACTAATCTTGGATATGAGAGAGAGGGAGAACCCCGAGCCCGTGGAGCAGGGTCTCCACAAAGCTCGAATGGGCAATGGGTGCGCTTAGCCCCATGGGGCTCAAAGCTCTACGCCGGTCCTTTCTCCTGCAGTCACCCAACAATCTATGTGAGCACACCTCCAGGTCCGTCCTGACAGTCTGGTTCAGTTCTGGTTTAGTCCTGTTTTAGTCCTGTTTTAGTCCTGGCTCAGTCCTGGTGTTGTACCCCCATGTACCACTGCCACTACACCCCTGATCATGTGTGATGTGCTGTGTTGTTTGGCTTTATGGGAGGTTTTTGAACAGTACTGTTGTATATGTAATAGCATTATAACTATTGTGTGTAACGTCACAGAATAGTTATAATGCACAGCGCAGACAGTAAAGTGATCATTTCATTGTACAGGGCAAGGCGTTTCCTTACTGTGCACATAGCCATAAGCACTTTAAATCTTGAATCTAGTGCGTACGATAAAATGTTTGTCCCCCGTAGCGCAAAACTCAAACTCCGCCTGTGGTGCCATGCAATTGTTTTCTAATAGCTCTCTCCAATTTTTACCCACTATTTGTTTTTTGACACTTGAAAAGGCACCATGACAAGTGTGTGGGATCGTGTGAGGCGGTTGGATTCCCACGATTCTTACTGACAATGTCCCTGATTAGATGAAAAAAGTGAGCCTGTCAGTAGCAACTCTACTACTTGAGAAAATGTTATGCAAAATGAACAGATTTTCTTTCTAATTTAGCAGTGTTTACCATACACTGATGTAAAGACCATTTATCTAGAATTAATTTAAATCAGATACAGGCTCTTTTAATTTATTATCAGTATTTTAATGTTTGAGTAATTTGATTGATTGATTTATTGTTAAACTCTTGATTTTTATATAGTGTTTTCTGATTTTTTGTTTAAGAAAAAAGTGCAGGGGAATTTATATTATTACCAAAATCCCAGGAGGACATAAAAATCAGGAAAACCATATGTTCCTGTCACCGCAGTGTTCAGTCAGTGGAGTGGGAAAGAAATGTTGAAGCTTTCAAGTGTGTTTTTCTAGTGCGGTATTTAAAAGTGCATTTAAGGTATTCTGGTTTGTGGTTTAGTCAAGTGTGTTAATCTCATCAGCTTCATCTTCCTTTTTCATATCTGTTCGTTGTCCTTTTGTTCATGTCAAGACCAATACAAGTTATGTTTGATATTTTAGCAAACAACAGCACACTGCTTACTTTTTGACACAGAATTTGTAGTTTTTAAATGTAGTACAGACTGCTTATAATTGCCCAAATACTGAACAGTCAAAACTTACCAATATTTAAGAAGTCTGAGCGGTACTGACAGGTCATGCCAAAACCGAAGTCTCTCCAAAATCCAGCATCTTTTTTATGAATCTGTAAAGAAAACATTTAAATAAAAGTTAATCAGCCATTTGACTTAAAAACACAAGAACACTGTTTAACCTGCAGTGATTTTCTTACCAGCTGCAGTTCGATCGGTGGAGCCAGCTCCAAGTTTCCATAGACAATAGCAGGATTATACAGGCTGAAGACCACTGGATAAAACACCTTTTTATCTGCACAGATCAGATGATATGACCGCATTTAATAAACATAAAACACACAAATATACTTAGATACAGGGCTCTCCACTAATATTGACATCCTTCACCACAGCTGCTTATAGAAAATCAGATACTAGACTAGATTATATTATTATATTATATTTAAAAAGTGACAGTCACAAGTTACAAATTAACCTTTCCTAAGTAGCTTTACAATGATCTTGAGCTGCATCAGAACAAGTATAAGACTATTATTCAATGATGAAAGTAACATTCTATTATCTAAATAAAGAGTATTTTTTATTATCATCGTGGTATAGGAATCTGTATTGAGTTTATTCCTTAGTATCAAAATCGTGTTTGAAATTTTAGACTTGTGAAACATTACAGTAGACAAGGAAGTATCTCATCCTGATGCGATGTCAGTGGCTCCAGTGACTCAACATTCTCCATGAATCACTGGCTGCGGTTACATGCTCACTGTAAAACAGATAATTACCAGATTTAGCAGATTATAAAAATGACATGAACAGCAAAATCTGATGAAAGTAATCTGATTTCTGTCTGATCACGGTCCCTCTGATTACTCACATCAGGTTTTGTGGTTTGCATGTCATTGATTTATAAAGGTCCGGAAATCAGATAATAATCTGATTTTGGTGTGTGCATGTGAACCACTACTGAGCTGCAAAAGTTTGTTGGGTTACCTACATTTTAGTAAATTTATTCTATTTTACTATCATTTTGCTTCTTATTTTTAACTGCAATATTCATTTTTTTATTTTAAATTCCCTCCTTAAACACATACCAGGAGTTGTGTTTTGTTTCATTCACAAATGTTTGAGTAATCCTTTATTATTAGTCCGTCTGCATCTCCAAAGCTCAAAATCCTCTGCTCCACCTCGTAATGTCATGAAGCAGTAGTTTTCAACTTAACAGCTTAACTTAACTTTTACCTTTTGTTTAGTAGAGAGAGGCAATTCCAGGGGTGACATTATCCAAATGATTCTAGTGAAGTTGTTTGGAGTTTAAAAACACAGTGGAGCTCTTCCTGCTTTACCACATGACATCACAAGGTGTTCTCTGTTTGAGAGAAGAACTCAACCTAAATATGTGTGAATGAAACAAACCACAACTCCAAGTATGTTTGTGATAAGGATATCACTTTATAACAGATATCAGAAGAATAACAGATCAGAATAGTGTAATGTGTGCGCATTAAAGCTGCCCTGACAAATCTATCTACAGTTGTATCCGCTTTAATCAGCACATATTTCCTCATCAGAGCTGCCAATATTATCAAAGAGCTCTGTAATGATAACATAGGTCTGGACCCACTAGGAGCAGCGTTGAGGCGGCAGGTGTTGAGGAAGTCTGCGTTAAAGTGGATGTCGACGTCGCAGAAGAACATGAGCACATCTCCTTTGGTCCAGGCGTGGGCCCCGATATCCAGACCACGGCCCCGAGAAAACTCCTCCTCTACCGGGATCAGGCTGTAGTTCGAGAAGCCCTCCTCCCTAAACACAAACATCAAACAAATATAATAACAGAACAATCGATACTTTGTAGTGACATCGCATTGGGATGTTCTATATGTAGTTCTATTGTTGGAATGTTCTGCAGTTACCATGGTGACACAATGCACACACAGTCAAAAAAGTTGTAAGACTATCTGAAATCTCAAGAAAAAAATAAAAAATTTATTTAAACAACACATTTTCCCGAGCCTGCGATCAGTATGAGTGCAATGTCGTGCTTAGGAGTTTGATTTTCAACATTTTAAGTTGAAAATTTAAGCTTCATACAGAGCAGTGCTTTCAGTTAGCTTCACATCCCCAGGGAGTGTTGGTGACATCAGCTGCAAAATATCAATAAATAACTCTAGGAAATGACACATCGCATATAAAGAAGAAAATAAACTTGATGTTAAGGATGTTGGCAGTGTCACATTCAGGAGTTACATCATCATGCGTCTATGGAAGGAAAAGTGTAATGTCCCATTCATTCAGACTCAAATGTTTATTTGGGCCATGTTCACGGCTGCAGTGGTCTGAGCAGTGATGCCCAGAACTCACAGGGATGAATGATTTGGAAATTTCTGACAGCATTGTGAATATAACTTGATTTGCAATGTTTTGATAATAGGATTCTGTTCAAAGTTCACAGTTTAAACATGTCCAGGAGCATTAACGTTAGAGAGAAAACTGAAATATGAACTGCTAAACAAAAAACAAAAAAATCCCATGCATTTCATGTTTGTAGTGGTAGCAGTTTGATTACAGTTTACAGGATTAGACAGGATTTGCTACTCAAATAATGCCAATCTTTGTGAATTTGTTAAATGCAACCCTTTAAATTTTGATTCAATTGTGAAATACTGAATCATGCAGCAGCAGAACTCTCACTGGGGACCTTAGGCTTGTCAAAGCCACAGAGGGACACTGCTTATTATTCATGGTCTTTAAGCAAATCACATTTCTTATAAAAAAATAAAAATGACTAAGCATCCATATAAAAACTAGGATATTCTCTTAATTTAAGGTACAGCTGCCAAAAAGTGGGACCATGGGAACATTTTAATCAGATACTGCTGCTTTGAAAATATCACTCTTGCATCTAAGGCCAAGAAGAAATGTAAAAACTGAATATTCTGGCTTAAAGTATCAAGCACAACATGCATCACCACAAAAATAAAAGCATCATAGTATTTTAAGAGAGAGACAAACCGTGATAGTTTTTCCAGAGAGGACCTGACCTCGGGGAGCCCGTCCTGCCCAAAGTAAACCACAGTGAGGTACACTCTCCGGTCCTGCTGGATACACACCTCCCTACAACACAACAGTGAGAGAGTTTCAAGAAGAGAGGACATGGGGCATTTACTCATACATTTCATTTTAATTTCATTTTAATGGGACAGCAAAAGGGGTGGGATGAGACGCAATTTCCACAAGACAAGACAAGATATAAGACTTTGACATGATTTATTTAAAGAGCCCACATTAAGCTAATTTCTGATCTATGTTGTAATGTTGTTTCCTCATCACAAACATGTTTCGTTTCATTCACACATTTAACACACAAACTCTTCATATTTAGGCTGAGTTATTTTCACAGACAGAAAACACTGTTCCACTGTGAGATGTCAGTAATAATACATAATAACTTCATTGTGTTTTTAAACTCTACACACCCTCACTGGAATCATTTGGATGAATTCATCTCTGGAATTGTCAATCTCTTCTCAACAAAAGGTAAAAGGAGTTGTTAACTGAAAACTACAGCTTCATGACATCACAAGGTGGAACAGAGCATTTTTAGCTTTGGAGATGTAGACAGACTAATAATAAAGAATTACTCAAATGTGTGAATGAAATAAAACACAATTCTATAGTGTTTGAGGAGGTGACAACATTCTTACATGACTTACAGTTCACAAGAATCAATTTTGTTTAATATGGAACCTTTAAAAAAAACTGTGCAACCAAGTGCACAACTTTGCGTAGTTGCTCTGCTTTTTGGAACTACAGCTCCTCAAGAAAGTAACTTGCGAGCACTTTCTGTCCAACCCACTTTTGTCCGATCCAAATATAAACACATGATGGGAAAAAATCTCACAAGAAAATGTTTCCTCATGTGTGCATGATTTCTATTTATTTATTAATCTTTATTTAATCAGGTGAAAACATTGACATCGACACTGACATGTGGCCATACCGGCTTGTCAAAGTCTGATCCCGTCCCTTCTGCTGGAAAAATCAGGTGCCACACTGGGGCGCAGATTGCACAAACTGCCGTTGTGTTCTTAGGCAAGGCACTTCACCCACATTGCCTAGTGTGAACATGGTGTGTGCGTGACTGATGGTGGTGGTCGGAGGGGCCGATAGTGCAGATTGGCAGCCTCGCCTCCGTCAGTCTGCCCCAGGGCAGCTGTGGCTACAATCGTCGCTTACCACCACCGGGTTTGGAATGAATGAATAATGTTCTGTAAAGCATCTTTGAGTGTCCAGAAGTGCTATATAAAACTGAAGCATTATTATTATTATTATTATTATCCATATCTCTTTTATAAGGATGACTTGGGATCTTGTGGAAATTTAGTCTCGGATAACAGAGGTTGGAACAAGACATACATTTTAGACATGACACAAGATAAGACAAGATTTTGATTGATTGAAGTGAATATTATTATATCATAACGTAATGTAAACCATATTGGGGTAAGATTGATTCCATTTAAATAGATAATCAAGTATTGTTCTCCGCTGGGAAGAGACATTCTGCGGTATTTTGAATGAGCAATATCTTGTCTCATCCCTAATGGATAAAGTGCTTTAATGCTCAAAGCCAGTCTCAATTTGTCATCCAAACCAAAGATAATTAAGAAATCCACAGGGCAATGGAAAACTTATGAAAGCTACGGGAAACACAAGTTACCATTTGAAAATTGGGTATTCATGTTGCAGCTAATACCCTTTAATGAGTTGAAACAAAACTGGATATACCTGCATTTTGGTTGGATAAATGTCAAAGTCAAAAATATGTATGTATATTATTTTAACAATTATAATTTATTTCTATCATGTCATTATTATGAAATAACTAAATTATTACTCAGTTTTTGGGGATATTGGCAATAACAGGGAAACTAAAACCTCAAAAACAGGTTTTATCTTTTTGGGACATTATGCCAAACCAAGCAGTCCTCCAGCTGACGTAGTCCTGACAGGTTACCCCAGCGGCACCGAGGGAATGGGTCAAATGCACAAATGACTACACAACCCCACTACCACAATAAAGCACAACTTAACCCAACTAATACATTTTCAATCATGTATTTAATTAAAATCATATTTAAACCAAATTTGGAAAACAAAAACATGAGAAGCTTTTAATACCAAGTTTGCCTAAACAGAGCTTTGTTTATTCCCTGCGATGACTGCCAACAAACATGACTTTGCCGTAGGTTGATAGATTGGATCTTAAAATAAACATGTTGCAACAGTGTGTGCTAAACTGACTCACCTGAAATTGTTTAAAAACTGTGTGAACGTCTCCACTCGTCCAGACAGAGGAACGATAATGTTTATGATGATTCCCGAAGTGTCCACCGACATGCTCCTCACTTTCATCAACGGACCAAACGGACGAAACAAGGTCACGTGACGAAAACTATTTGAATCCTCTTTAGCGAAAAACAGTTCATACAGACTGCCCTTGTCCCGCTCTGTCCTGTACAGCCCTGAGAGAGAGAAAGAGAGGAGTCATGTGATCTGATGAAACGAAAAATTTAACTTGTGTAATTGATGCTAAAAAGTTGGGGAGTCTACAGGATAATATTGAAATTGTTAAGAGTGTAAACTGGGAAAGGTCAATGGTGGGAGAGAGACTGTGGATGAGTGATAAGGCTGTGCAATTAATGGAATTTTGATCACGATTTTTATTTATGTGTCAAACGATCTCCAAACTGAAACAATTTAAAGCTTAACAAAGTTTATTTTGAGATATTTTTAATATAAATAAGTATATTTTTTTAATCTTTTAAATATAGAGATTGTAGAACAGCTGGATATATGTAGTTTATTTGGATATATTTATGTTTTTCTAGGCCTTATTTCAAAGTATATTTTATTAATTTTATGTTTTATACATCGCAAAACTGCTCTAAATTTGAAAGTTTTGCTTAAATTATCAATGACAAAGTGTTTTTTGAGAGAGAGAAATGAATAAATGCTTGTGTAACTAAAAAAAAAAAAGTTAAATAATCGTGATTTCAATATTGACCAAAATAATCGTGATAATGAGTTTTTTGAGTGATGAGATAATTTTTTTGTGTACTTCTACAACTGTTTAGTATTTACAGCTACAATTTTTAACTAGATTGGCCGACCCAGCTCTGTTGAATTCTTACGTATCACCAACAGATGCTATCTATTTTACTGCAGCTTGATGTGTGTTAGTTTTGGTCTGACAGAAGACTAGAAAGCACAAAAGAGCCTGAACAAAGAAGAGATGACGGGGAGGGAACATCTGCCTCTACTAGTGAAAAAAATGTAAAAATAAACTTGCAGATGGTAGCTTTAAATTAAGCGCTTTGGGGATTTTGCTCATTGCGATAGCGTGAAATTTCTGTATTTTTGTGGTTTGATATTTGTGCAATCCAAGACACATTTCAACACATTTCTGATGGATTGCAAAAATATCAGATGATAATTTTTTGAATAATACAAGCCTTCACAGTGTTTACGAAACAATTCTGTAAAATATAGTTTCTTTGGGCCAGTTCAGACGGGTGTGAATGATAGTTGGTTTAGTTAATCAGGGACACACGTGGTCCTTCCGTATCAAAACAAATATGTCTGCTTACGAGAAAAAAAAGAAAGAAAAAACATCATAGGGGACTGAAAAGATCACAGATTGGTTTGGTTTGTTTAGTAAACCACTGTACAAACCAAACCAATGAGCTGCTTCTTTCTCATGTCACTGAAATAAACAAATCTGATTGCACGATCTTGTTCTCGAGACAAGATGGAGCCTGTGGTGACCAGACTCAGATCCTCTATATAAGACATACAGAGACATATCATTCTAGATTTGCGAGGTACAATTATTCACCTGTGCCACCTTAATCCTATGTGAATCATTAAGTATAGTTCTGCCTTGAATAAGTATCAGGGCAGGGCATCATTAAGAAGTTGCTGATACAATACAAACCTCGATACATAGGCCACAACACGATATCTCGATACAGTACAGAGCCCGCCTGATGACGTACGCGAAAAAGGATACTAAATCGTGGACTCAAATTACTATTTCGTTCCCATAATATGTAATTCGTTCCCACGTAGTAATTTGAATAATAGTAATTTGAGGCCACGATTTAGTATCTTTTTTCACATACGTCATCGGGCGGGCCCCGTAGTACAGTGCACTTTTAATTCGATACAATATATTTTGTATTCACTTTTAATTCGATATGATATATTTCAAATCAATTGGATACGGTTCAATAAAAAATAATGACTAAATCATGGCTGTGATAATATAAGTCTTTTTTAAAACACTTCTTGTGCAAAGTTCATATAAAACACACCCATTTTGTTCATCAAAACAGTGAAAATGTCAATTGTGTTGCATAAACAAGTTTCCTTCCTCTAAATAAGCAACAAAACTGTTGAGCTGTAACAAAATAATTTAGAAAAATATACCGAAAAATATTCTTGGTGATATATTGATACAGCAGCCCATAATATCAATACGGTATCATCACATTAAACGATACGATGTCGATATTTCAATATTTTTGCACACCCCTAATTAGTATTTTACCTTCAGTAAAATGTGCCTCTGTGTACAGCTGCCTCTGCATGGGCCCTTCCTCCTCTGCTCCATCCTCTTCATCAGGGTTATTGATAATATCCAGCGCAGCTTCAATCACCTCCACCAACTCGTCCCTGCGGTCCTTCCTCACGGGCTTCTCCTCTGGGTGCCGCGTTAAACCCATCTCCAACTGATAAACTTTAGACGACGTAAAACTCTCAAATGGCACCAGTGCGTATTCACTGGCCAGTCTCGCTCCTGTGTTCACTTCAGCTTTGTCGATTTGAGAGTGCAAGTATTCTAAAAGATCACTAGGTTCTTGGTCTTTAGTTTCGGTTAACCCTTGCACCATGGGAACCTCCTTTTTATCCTGTAATACTTTTAACTTCTCACTCATTTCTTGCAGTTCTTGCTTGAGCTGTGCGATTTGACGTTTTAAGCTGGCAGCGCGGTTTAGATGACGTTCCTCTTGTTCCTGGAGTAAAGCCTGGTAGTATTCCCGTCCGTACTGTTCGACTCCGGGAGCAGACAGATTGAGGTCTGTGGGAGGGGTGCATTCGAGCAGATAGGCGAACAGGAGGAGAACCAGGAGCAGGCACAGGCCCAGGAAAAGCCACCGGACGCGGCCGTGGACCTGTAACCCGCGCCTGGGCATCGCTGCAGCGGCTAAGGCTCACCAGTCTGCATGGTCCTCCAATGACTTCCACTAGACAGTCACATCACTACAAATGCTCCCAATGCAATTAGGAACACAGTCTCAACCATTTATCCATATTCACTTAAGAGCTATCCATGAGTATGTCTATTGCTTTTGTGAAGGGACGGCATCTTAATGTTTTTGAAACGTGTCCGAGGAAAATCCATGCAGCGGTCACCTGGGAACAAAAGATATTATGTTAATGTTTAATGCTGCAATAACCTACACAAACATGTTCTGAAATTCATGGGATTCTTGTATTAGTTTATCAGTTCATATTTCAGTCTTCTCTCAAATGATAATGCTGCTGGAGCTGTTTACAACTGAACAGAAACATACTTTTAAAACATATATAGTGTACAGATATAAAGTAATTGCAATAACTGTTACTTATGTTAAATTAACAAAATATTAAAGCAACACAAGGCTACTCTTTTGACTAAATTAACAAACAAATTCTATGTTAAGTCATGAGAAATGTTCAAATAACAGCATTATTGTGGTACATTTATTTAGTCATTCATTTTGTATTTAGTCTATAATTTTGTAACGTAAGATACATCCCTGTTAAAAAGTTATTACCTCATCACTATTAATTACACTAATTATAGATGAAACATTGGCACTGGCTTTTATTACAACAACCATCTCCAAAATAAACAATAGAAAGTTATGTCATTTTAAATTGTGTGGGAAATTGTCTGTACTTAAATTAAACAATTAATGAATTATACCAATCAGAATTAAAGGTTCATTAGAAATTAGCTACAGTTGAATAGTCCTCCTGTTAGCACTGAGGCTAAAACTACAGTAACAATAAAGGGGTAAACTTCCTGTTAAAATGACTGCCTTCAAAATAAAAGCGCACGTGTTTCCATGGAGGAACGTAGCAGTTTCAGTTACACAGGATCATTTTCACAGTATCAATTACTGGGTCAGGACTTTGCCCATCACCAGGAAAGTCAGTGTTTTGAATCTTGCCTGAGTTTGTGTCATTGGGCAAGACATTTCACATATTGCCCATTCCAGTTTTATTATATGGTTGATTGCAAAAGGAAGGGCATCTGGAGTAACGCTTACAAATTCGCTAAGTAGCTGTTCTCCCCAAACTTAAAGGTGTACTATTTATCTTTTCTATGGAAATTCTGCCCCTGTTAGTCTCCACAGAGATGTAAATATTTCACTTTATTCTGGTTTTAATCTTCCTCTGCATGGATTTAAGAAGATAATGTCACCAGGCGCAGTTATTGGTCAGATCTCTGAATAGGCGAGTCTCCCCACAATAAGAATGCATGTTTTTCAAGGTATTTTACAGCAATTAAAAGACAATTGAATAAATTCTAAATATGTTTAATGCCATACTGTGGAACATTCCAGGCAAAGCAATAACAGTTGGTTGACCCCTCACCAGAAGAGTAGTCTGTCTGTGGTTTGTTACATCACGTACCTTTAATGGGAGACTGAATCATCAGGATTTTACTGTAATTCAGATCTATGTAAATTGTGCTGTCCCATTTGGTGGTGACATTTAAATGTAAATGTATTATGCTTTATTGTGTATTAATAGTAGTTAATGAGATCATGTCTGTATAGAGCCCTTTAAACCACTTTAAATGTGACATTTCCACCACACTTTTAAAGGTCGGCTCTCGCGTCGCACAGAGGAGGTATTTCAGCTCCTGTCACCTGGGCTCTGTGTAAATCAGAGGCAAAGGTGTAATTAAAACCAGTAGGGATCCAGGAGCTGTGAGCAGGCATTTACGACCTGAAGCTAAACGTATTTAAACACCAACTACTGAAGAGGAACAAACCGGAAAACTGCTGATGAAGTAGCATGTCTGTTTGTGGTGTTCATGTTTTTTAGCATGTGCAATATATCGCAACTGAATCAAAATTTGTGTAAGCCTACAAACGTCAGTCAAAAGACGGCAATTATTTGTGTAATAGAATAAATATTTATGGTATTTTCATTTGGAAAGGGGGTGGGGCTGGTCCTTCAGTTTTTAGATCTCCACAAACATGACTTTTATGACATTCTTGTATTACTAAATAGTTTCTCTCAAATGTGTAAATGCACCCTCTGGACAGAATGCTACTTTTTTATTACAAATCTAATCACAATCTCAATTCTTGTTACAAAAATCTATTTTCTAAAATCATGAAATCTTATTCTAGTTTTGCCCGTTTTTAGGACCCAGTGAGCTGGTCTAAGTTCTGGGATGTTCATGTGTTTCAACATTACTGTGTGGGTGTAACAACCACAAATCATTTTACGACAGCACTTCAAGATTTGTTCTGTATTTGTTACTCCATTTGGCACAACAGTGACAACTGCTGTAGATACATTTAAAAGGTCGTTACTCCGCAGAACTTCATGCTCATAAAACAGTAACAAAGTAGTTTCAGCATTTTTAAAAAGTAGTCTGCATTTTGTGTCTTATCCAAGAGGCTTAATCAATTGAAGAAACAACCTTTATGAAACCTTTTTTACTCTTGTTATTGTAATATAATGTGATGTGAAGTGAGAGCTATTGTGTCCCTTGTGAACAATAAAATCTGTCAAAGTCTAAGAAACCTTTGTTACTAAACTGTTACACCAACACTGTCATTAAATAAATATTACTTTTAATGTCATCCTCATAAAAAAAATTCAGGCAGGCCTATTTTTAAGTAATGTTATTATAACTCTATAATAACTAATTGTAGGTGTGTGTTTAGTTTGCACCTCACACCCAGATCAGTTATGAATAGGTTGTGTAAACTTATTATTTGCAAATCAGTTTTAATATTTAGGTGCAAAACTGCAAAATGAGCCAAGAGTCCATAAGCCAAAAATATAGAGAGATCACTAAATAGATATGTGTGTGTGCAAATATCACGCCTATTTGATTGCTAAGTTGCGTGTAGACTTTGTACCGAGCAAACAAACTAAACTAAGAGCTTTGATGCATTTATGGTGTTTGACCGTGCAACAAAAGTAATATATTGAGCATTTATTAACACATTAAATATTGTATACGGTTTCATTTTTAAGAACGCACTTCTTTAAATTATCTGTTTACCTTTTATACTGAAACAAGTCTCGGGAATTAACGGAGATCTGAGGCTAACTTAGCACCACCCTCCGCAGTACCGCTAGATTTCACCCTCTTATCGTCTACTAAAGATGCCACATGGATATTTGTACGATTTTTGGTATGCTACTCACTTGTTTTGTTCGCTCTCCATTCCGGTACTTGGTAAAAAATAAAAGATTTAGGTGTAAAATCCCTCAGCGGTGGCCGGACAGTGAAACAAATGATGCCACGGAGCAGTGAAAAGAGTGGGTCTAGTCCATTTCCGCTAAACGGCGTCCAATGAGAGCGTTGCTATGGTAATGACGTCGCCCAGCACGTTGTTACGCCTCTGTAATTTATCTGTAATAAGCCATTAATCACGTTTAATTATTATTAATAATAGGCTCCTGTAATATATGAAAGGGTGTAACAGAAGATATTTTGTATTTAAAAAGGATATATAATAACAGTCTACTTAGTCATGAAATTTACATGAGAAAAACAGGCGTTAACTTGCCTCAATCGAGCACACACACACCCCAAATTAATAACAGGGAAGAGAACCAAAAAAACCGCAAACATGTCAGGCAACATGTCAAGACTGAATACAAAATAAACAGTCAAATGATTCATGCAACAGTATAACAGAAACATTTTGAACAAGTTTGAACATAGATATACACAATAGGCTATTGAGTTTCATATGTTTTGTTTCCTGTTATAACCTATGTGATATTTTTAGGACTTTTCACAGTTCAATAACACGTGTAGGCCGAAGGTGTTAAAATAGCTACCTGCACAAGGAAGTAATTCACAAATGCAAAATCTTACACAAGAAAGTTTTGCGTTCCATGGATAAGATAACACGATAATTTTAGAATATTTGAATGTTAGAATGGATTATCTTGTTAGGCCAATCCTTTGAGATACTACTGTTTTAGAAAAGAAAAACAATATTTAGCCTACACCAGAAACGTCTTATGGCCCACATGTGAAACATATAGGCCTACTTATAGCACATGTATATACACACACCCATCATCCTAAAATAGTATAAGGATAGTGTGTTTGAACTAATTTAAGAGTAGCAGAATGGCCATATTAACTAGAAAGCCATAATTATAGGCGACATATAGAAAACATTGGCTACTTACTTGTGACCCTCAGTTTAGCTTGGCTGATTCTATTGTTAGACTGGTCACAATTTTATGGACAAAGGAGGAGCTGTCTCTGTGATTTCTGGTATATCTTACAGATGATGGCAGAGACTGAGTAGTGACTTCACTTTCATGAGTAGCTAATACAATATACAAATGCACTTTGATCTAGAAAGTTGACTAATCAATCCTGTAGCAGCATTACTGAGAAAAATGTTGGTAAAGACCTAATAATAATGATTCAGGAGCTGCTGTATTACAAATGGTGGCTATCCAATGTCTGCTGGAGGCATTACTGTTGTTGTGTCTTTGGGCAAGGCAATTTATTCTTTTTTGTGAGAATTTAAGGTGTCGTTAGGATAACTAACTAGGCTCAGCTATTGTGTATAACCACTGCTATAGTTCATTATTGTATCGAGGTCATGTGAATACAAGGGCTCTGATCACAGCTATGAGACTCATAAATATACAGAATGTCAAGACAAATGTTCCCATCAGATATTCCCATCTATCTAATAGCAAACTAACTAAATAGGACAAGAACTGCTAATAGGAATGATGTTCTGACCCAGATAACACCTTGGATGGACTGTGCAATGTGCCAAGAGGCCTGGCTGGGCTGTACACCAATGAAGAGGCGCTAAGTCTAAACCAGGGGTCTCCTACCTGGAGTTCAGGAGCTACCAGTAACTCTCCACCCCTTTCAGTGTTGCTCGGTGAGGGATTTCTGAATTATATGTACTGAGCTAAATAACTAAAATAGTTTTAATTGCCTTTGTAAATGTATAATTTTGATGCCTAACTTTGTATACTTACAAATGGATAATGGTTGGTTTATAGGCATCAAACTAACCCCATCTTAGGCTTGCTTGGCTCTTATATGTACAAAATTTCTTGCAAACTCTAAAATGGGTAGCTCTCTGGCATTTTTGTCTGGTAAAAGTAGCTCACTACTGGAAAAAGGTTGGAGAGCCCTGTCCTAAACCATGGGAGCCTCCCACTATAGTTTGCGCATAAAACTCATTGTTTAGCCGTAAACATTGAGTCTCTGCATGGGAATGTCAACACAGACTCCTTATACAAGCATTGCTCTCCTAATATTTGAATAAGTAAATCATCTTTATTTCTGTTTGAAGTGTATTCTTTACGAACACGAGAGGAAAAGACCGATTTCCTCAACAAATACAAATGCTGTATTACAAATGTTGGCTATACAATGTCTTCTAGAGGCGTTACTGTTGTTGTGTATTTGGGCAAGGCAATTTATTCTTCTTTTTTTCTGTGAATGTAAGGTGTGTTTGGCCCATGCCACAGAATGGTAGTCACACAGAGGGCAACTATGGCTACATATCTGATCATCTTCTTGTTGAGAAGTGAAATATTTTAAATCTAATCCTAATTTATATATATATCTGTATTTTTACCTTCATCATTGGTGTTATTTGATCAAACATGGTACAGAAAAACACATTTTCTCTTATTAATAAAGGGAATTACGAGACATTTATTTTACGGTTTATTTAATAACTGTAACATAACCAAATATTATCAACATAACAATGATACACACAGTAGTTTACATGACCTGACTTTTTACACAAAGTTTGCCAAGTACAGACAGTGGATCTACATTACGCCTCATGACTTTACAATGGACTCACTTGTTGATACTGTCACATAAAAAAGAGCAAAATTAACCAGTACAGTGGGTGTTTGAACATGTTTATCTTTGGCAAAAACTGTTGAGAGGCGGGAACACAAATGTGACATCAGCAACACAGTATAAACTTTACATTTTGGACATTTTTACTCATGTCCATTCAATCTTAGGTGATGGTAAAGACGTCCCTTATTTATTACTCCCGGGTTGGACAAGATCTTCATTCAGGGACATTATTCATTAAGGTGGGCTATTGTCGAAGCAGCACAGGCACTTTGAAAGACACGGACATACAATCTGGTACAATATCATGCATGATACAACTCAGCCGTCATTGAGGTAATACTTTAAAGTGCATATGACAGGTTAGACTATTCATTTAGCTTATACATACTTAACGTGATTGCATTCATGATTTGACTAAAAAACTTACCTCTTTTCCTGTGGTTTGACTGTTTTGGTGAAGTTTTACCTCCTGGTTGGGGCAGAAAATTTGACATATGGGCAACCATACTGTAAACAATGGCCAAAAATGATAAATATTTACCCAATAGTTATGATTTGTTAAATAAAAATAAAAGACAATAACTTAATTTTCTTAAATTAATGTTTAAACTGTTACAAAATTGTGTTCCTTGTGCGTAAATGGACTAAAAGTATTAAGTATATATAGATAAGTTGTTTCCTTTTTTAGAACTATGTGCTACTTCCTGTCATATTTTACTTTAATTATTCAACATTTCTTCAAAAACCTCTACTTAACTGATGTAAAACTATGATAAATATTTGCCACAGGTGCTGTCTCATCATATGAAATAACTATATAAATAGAAAAAACATGAAAACCTGTCATATGCACTTGACTTTACATAGTGAGAAAAGCTTGGTCTATGTCCATGAGCCAACCTTTTGCAGCAAAACAGATCCCAGTTTTAAAATACCCGTGCAACAGAAATGAAGGGAACCAACTTTAGCTTCATCAGATTGTAATATATATTTACAGTCTTATAGAAATATACACATCTAGTACTGATTAGTCACTTGATTTGTCTGGTTGCCTTTAGCTATCGCACGTCTCCACAGCTTTTGGGGGTGAGGGCAAAGCCATCCAGTTTGCATATACACTATCATTGGCATATCTTGTAAAGAGCGGATTAGAGGCATCGTGTCTGCTGAGCGGCACCGGGCTCTTCTCGGGCCAGTTGGGGTAAGACATGCCTAAAAACGAGAACATATCATTTTTCGGCGCTCAGTGACAGAGAAACAGCGTGCACACAGTAAGGCTTTTCAACTCAACTCTGACGCAAAGAAAGAAACTATAACAGAAAATAAGCAAATAAATAAAGCTTTGGCAGTGTCTTTGTTGTGTTTTGTTCTCATATATATTATTTTTTCAAGCAAATTAGCAAAACATTAACTTGTATGTGAAAAAGGGACCCTGTCGTTGAGGCCCAGGTGTTCATTAGTTTTACAGTATTATTGTTAGTATGAATGCTTCTGAGTAATAGTTAAACCATTTTAGTAAAGCAGTGTTCCCCATAGATTTTCTGGAGATTACAATGGCACAAATTACTTTCTTTGAATCATTTCATTCAATTTGTGGAGTATAAATGTCACCTACTGTCTACATTTATTCTTAACCCCTTAACAACTGAATTTATGCAGATGTATATAAAAAATGTTTTGTGTGTGTTTTGCTTTTAAGTAGATGGTAAATTAAATCAAGATTATGAATTTCACTATAGCAAAAAATAAATAAATACAAATTTGGATATGTTGCAAATTTGCGACAACTAGAAACAAGTGCTTGTCCAAGGTTCCTGCAACTGCTATCTCGGCTTATATCTTGATCCAAATAGTTTGTCGCATATTTTTGAAAGTTAAGGGGCGTTAAGGGGCTATAGCTCTTACTTTTGACCAGTGTAATCTCTTTTGTAAGTGAATGATGATGCAATGAGCAGTTTCATTTTGTTATGCTCTTATATAGTCCAGATTATTTTACACTATGGAAAACAATTTTAGACTACGGAGGGCACCACAGTCTCCTGTATTAATGGGAAACACAGTAAAGCATTTTGTAAGTAAGTACAGTTTATTTATATAGTGCATCACAGATTACAGTGTACTCTGTGAAGTGTATATGTGTGCGTAATATTTTCCTAATATAATAACAGTTGACAGATTGTGTATATAAGAATTGTAGCTTGAGTTGTTGGTGTTACTGGCAACCATAGATATAAACACTGTGCATTGTAAAAGTGTTTGGAAGCAGGAGTGCCTTGCTCAGCTAAAATAAAATGCAAATCATTTCTATTCATGGGTTTCAGCTTCCTGTTAGATGCAATATCGTGAGGAGTTTTTTCCATTCAAAAGAGAGACAGATAATTGTTCATACTTCTGAAACCCATGGATACTTGTGATGCCATTCAGGAGTCGTGCTCAAAAGCCTTACTGTTTTTCTGTTGAGTTTCAAGATTAAAGCTTTTAAGACAGTTTAGACTCAGACCACAGTGAGTGATTGGTTCGACGTGGACCTGTTTCAAATGTTACACAGCATTTCTCCAAAGCAAAAACAAAATGGAGGGATGTGATGGGACTATGTACAAACCAAATGCAGATGAAGTATGAGTACATGTATATTATGTAAGAGCTTTAAATTAAAAGTAAAGGTGCACTGTGTAACTTTTCTGGTGGGGTGTCCAATTGTTACCTGAAATGTTTTATAGTATGGCATTACATTTCTTGTATTTATTCAATTCCAGGTGTTTATATTGCTCAAAAATACCTTAAAATACATTGCTACTATGAGTGTGTTATGTTGCCACTCCACAGATCTGACTATAACTTGCCCCAGCTTGTCTCCATGGTGATAAATGTAATGCTACTCTGTCAAACTTTCCAGGCAAAGCAGAAATATCTACATGGAGACAACAAAGTGGCTTACTCCAGAAAAGTTGCAAAGTGCACCTTTAAGAGATATATTTGATATTTACAGATGTATTTTGGTTGTAATTACATTAGAAGCAGGTCCAAATAAACAAAAACACAAGATCTTTTTTTTTTTTTTCCTCTCATTTGCGGTGAAATGGGAGATATGTCAACAGCAAAAGGCATGCCTATAGACCACAGTCACACCACTACAGAAGCCAATCACAACTTGCCAAAAACAGTGTGTCCTGTGTCTAAATAAATCCTAAAATCGAGTAAATGCGTGGGAGATTCTACCATAGAGCTTGTTTTCAATCCATGTGGAGGGGAGTGAGCGAGGGACAGGGGCGTTATTACAGTCCACAAGAGGAGTGTCTTCTTCGGAGAGCGCATCGTCGTACAGCAGCCCGTCCGCTGGAGTGGAGGCCGCCAAGTCCAAGTAATCCTGAACCAGAGATAAACAGATTAGAGTCAATACAACAGCAGGTGAGACAGAGCACTAATGCCACTGGCTAATGATCTGGACAAATCCACAGAGAAAAGCCATCTGACTTTACTCATTTTTACATATGTATCAAAAAATATGTGTATGTGCCATGTATTCTGCTGCTAAATTTGACAAAACAAAAAACTTATTATAGAATTTTGAGGAAATATTAATCAGAAACGCACTTTATGGTCTGTCTTTTTTTAGTAATGTCATTATAACCAAGGGAAGCAAGTAAGTAAGGATTTCATTGCATAGTTTATACTACATTTTCACAGTGTGTACATAACTAGAATTTAATTGAATCTCTAAATATTTCAAATGGGGTATATATAAAGCATGGACAGCAGAAAGAACATATATTCAGTATCAGTCTATGTGTGTAAAATCCCTAAGTCGTCCAGGTAGATTCCAGGGCAAAAGGAGAAATTCTGTTTGCATTACAAAAACTAAAATGGTATACATGAAATTGACACATTCCATTACATATTTTCCTCCCAAATAACATAAGATAAGGTTTATATCATAAACTGATACTTGGCAAAAGGAGAAATTCAATTTGTCAGCTGGTCAAAAGTTTATTTGGTCGAATGCATTTCGCAGCTCATCCAAGCTGCTTCTTCGGGTCTGGTCAGATGCTGGTGAACACTGTCTATATCTGCCTGAAGGGTGAAGCTAACTACAATGAAACTACTCTGAAACTAACACATATACTTGTTTATAGTTTGCCAATTAAACCAACTAACAGAAACTGTAAACAAGTAAATGTGTTAGTTTCAGAGTAGTTTTGTAACTTTGTTTTTCCAATGTAACAACAGTTGGGAGTTACAGGTTCTTATTTAAACAGGGATTTGGTATTTAATTTATTGTTTCAGAGTTTCATTGTCGTTAGCTCCTCCCTTCAGGCAGATATAAGGAAGTGTTCAGTTTTGTACAGTTGATGAATGGAATTTCTCCTTTTTCTGTGGATTTTACCTGGACGACTGAGGGATTTTACACACATAGACTGATACTGAATATATGTTATTTCTACAGTCCATGCTTTATATGCACCCCATTTGAAATATTCAGAGAATCAGTTAAATTCTAGTTATGTACACACTGTGAAAATATAGTATAAACTATGCAATGAAATTTTTGTAATGCCATCCCTTCTTGTGAGTCCAAGCAAAGATAAAAACAGTAATAGTTTATATCTACGATGACCCAGCACATATCTGATAAGTGGAGAGCCCCTCTTATGCAGTGGATACATTCCCTTGTACTTAAAGGTTTTATTTTTAGCCTGACTTCTGGTATGCTCTGTGATTAGACTTGGCACAGCACAGTTAGTATTCTCCAAACAATAATTATGGCATCTGCAGCAGACACGTGCTGATAGATCAAACAGGGAAGTCCATGTAGCATCTGTCTATGTGTCTTTATGTGATGTTAAATAATAGTGTTACAGCTCATGAACCCAACCATTTAGAGGAGCTTGTTCCATCTTAAGAATTATATTTATTTCTGCTCTCTAAAGCTGTAATTCTTAGATCGTTTAGATTTCACATGCAATGTTATGCAGGAAAATGGGGCAAAGCAAGACAGTACTTTATTCCAAAAGAAAAGAAAATTTGTGCAGGAGATGTCAATAATACCGTGTTTTTGAAAACATTTATTTTAAAACAGACTTATTATGAAAAATTACTTTAATGAGCTTTTAACCACTTTGATGACTTTTTGTAACCACTTTTAAAATGGTATTCACTCATTTACACTGATTCATGCATTTTTGACTAATCAAGTGTTGTCCTGATTTCGAGAGTTGAGTGCTCAGAAAATTCCTGTTTTCACCTACCACTTATCTCCACCCACATCCCTGTACTTAGTTGTGATTATTTAAGTTATTTTAAACCTAAATCTAATATTCAGAAGAGGAAAATCTCCCATAGACTTGCTTTTGAGTCTGTATAATATTAACGTTGTTTTTCTTACTCATTTTGTATGGTCCTCCATGCATTAAATCTAAACCCTAAGTCAGCAGTAACTGTACTGGCCCAGTGTAAATAATGAGGAGTTTATTCATCTACTAATATTCTGGCAGCCAAGGAAACACAATGTAGTTTTGTGTAATGCATGGAGAGATCCTAATTGTAAGTCCCTGGCCTCCTTTCTTCATGAATAAATGATGGGGCTGTTCTGTTGTTTCTGTTGTTTTGCTCATACCCGACTCTTCACCATCATCTTTTCCAGTTCTTTGCTGATGTCGGAGAAGGTCGGCCTCTTGTCTGCTTCCTGTTTCCAGCAGCGGAGCATGAGGCTGTACCTGCAAAAGGAAAAATATCTACTTCAATCTAATCCTCTCCGGAGGTTATAGTTTCCGATTGAATCAGAACACACTGAATGTTGGATATACATTAGTCAAGAATAACACATTCAACTTACTTCCACAAAATTCAAGTGCAAAATTGTAGTTTGATTCAAGAACAGTAAAAAAAAAAAAAATGTAAACAACAAAGGCCATTCATATCAAGATTTTGTCTGGAAAAGTAAAACCTTGAGAAGGGAATCTATGATGAGTATGTTATCAAAAATGAGCACTGCATGTTCACCATATTTTCTCATATTTGTGAATTTAAGATACACAGCACAACTTTTGTGGTAGAGGGTCTGCCAACAAGATGTATTTGCTTTGCCAGGAATATTCCACAGTATGACATCTATCTATATTAAGATCTATATTAAGTGCCACCATGCCAAGATCTGTGGAGAGTGTCACAAAAAACAATGAATGTTTTAGTGTGTATTGTTTTAAATAAAACTATGGAAAGAAAACTTGAATAGAATCTAATTGTAAAATATCCATCCATCCATTTTCTACTGATTATCCGGGGCCAGGTTGCAGGGGCAACAGTCTATGCAGGGACTCCCAGACTTCCTTCACCCAGGACACTTCCTGAAGCTCCTCCGAGGGGACTCCCAAGACGTTCCCAGGCCAGCCGCTCAGGAAGCATCCAGAACAGATGCCTGAGCCACCTGAACTGGCTCCTCTTGACGTCAAGGAGCTCTCTACTCCGAACTCCTCCCATGTGACTGAGCTCCTCTCCCTATCTTTAAGGGAGCGCCCAGCCACTCTGCGAAGGAAACTCATTTCAACTGTTTGTATCTGCAATGTTTTCCTTGCAGTCATTACCCAAAGTTCATGATTACAGGTGAGGGTAGGAATGTAGATTGACCAGTAAATCGAGAGCAGTCAATCTACATACGTAACTGAAAAATATTTTAATGCAATACTGTGGAATATTCCAGGCAATGCAAAAACATTTAATTGTAGACAAGCAGGTGTGCATCAACCCATCTGAAAACTTTATGTAGACTGGGGCACTCTTTTCTGACGACTTGAATCATCATCCCACAAGAGATTCAGTTTTGTGCTTCTAGTGCTTACATCTCCTCTGAGCAGTTCTCTGGTCTCTCCATTCTATATCCCGTCTTCAGGAGGTTAAAGAGGCGTTCAGGGGCGATGCCAGGGTAGGGATTTCCTCCCAGTGTCACAATCTCCCAGAGAAGTACCCCAAAGGACCATCTAAAAGAGATACACACGTTTAAAACACACAAATAAAGGCTAGCTTACACTATTATAAATGCACTGTACTCACACGTCACTTTGTGTGGTGTAAATGTGATCAAATAATGACTCTATGGCCATCCATTTGACAGGTATGCGGCCCTGAAAAACACAAAGGTATTAATTTGAATAAAATGTAATTAAAGTTAATTTGCTGGAATCACTTGGTGTAATTATTGCGCTTGGCGTTAAGATTAGTTTAGAGTTCCATTTTGACCACACCTTTACTCTAACCAGTTACTTTGGCTAATTCAGTTTACCACATGAAAAGGTTTTTCATTTCAGATACAGATACTATGACTTTGAGTATCCAATATTAAATCATACCAGTGTAGGGATTAAAAAGGATTTGTAGGATTTAAATTATTATTATTATTTTTTATTACAAAATTGATCCAATTGTGTTATGTATCCTTCAAGTAACTTCTGAAGAGCTTTGTATGAATTCAAGTTCAGGCATCATGAAACAGCCTAGGCCTAGGCCTATTCAGTCAGTAAAGAATCCAATCAGGATATCGGCTCAACCGATACGTATCTGGATTTTTACCTAATAAAAATGACCAGATTAGATTTGAAGATACCGATCCCAATTGAGAAAGGAACACTGTAACACCCTACAACTTGAAAACACCCAAAATACACGTTGGCCTCCTCACCTTGCTCCTCTTCACGTATGAGTCTTCTTCGTAAACGTCTCTGGACAAACCAAAGTCTGAAATCTTCATCTTTCGACCTTCAGCCACAAGAACGTTTCGAGCTGCGAGGTCCCTGTGAACCAGCTGCAGGACAAAGGTGTTTTATTAAAGAGTTTTCAGGATTTGTGCTGTTTAAACAAGTCTGAGCTGCTTTATAATAGCTGTTAATAATATCAGTTGATCAGTTAAAGGCAATTGCAAAGAGGAAGAAAATGACAAAATTCACAATTGTGCAGAACTAATAAACTAATAAACATACCTGCACATCATTTATAGTTTCAGTTTTTGCTCTATTGACTGCAGTAATATGTGAAATAGTGTTATGTAAAGTGTCTTTGTGTGTCCTGCAAGCGCTATATAAATAAAATGTATTATTATTATTTATTATTATTTAGTTTTATAGCAAAAAGATAAGTGGTGTGTTTGAAGTTGTTATTGTGTTAATTAATTTACAGAGTGTATGTAATTCAGTTAGAATGAGTGAATGTATGTTGCTCATGGTGCCTCAAAAATTCAAGTGTTTTCAAGAATAATTTTAATATCTCCCATGGTTGAAAACATAATGGATATTATTTTTAATATTCATCTTATATTCATTTTGAAATCTTGACTTGATCATGTGTTGTATCTATATGATCACTATTCTGTTGAAATGAAATTGTTGGGAAACTGAGCTCATATATGTAAATAAACTGGACTTTCTTGTGAATTAATTAATTAATCTCATTCTGATATACCTTCATTTCGGCGAGGTACTGCATGCCTCTTGAGATCTGCCAGGCGAAGGATATCAGGTCCCCCATAGTCAGAGCTCGGTCGTCTGGGTTTTCTAAATAACTGGAGTTTCGGTTGGCGTCACGTCCCATGTAACTGGGTCCAACTTTCCGACTCTCTCTGAGGAAGTTTCGCAGTGATCCAAATTTGGCATATTCCACAATCAGGTACAAAGGTCCTATTGAGGGAAAATAACTGTTTAGCTTATATATTCAGTCACCATGTTTTATAATCAGAGCTGGGAATGGTACCAAAACTATTACTCATACTCATCTTACAAGTAGAACAGTAGCGTTTTAAAAGGAAGTAAAAATTAGGCTGAGTAAAAGGTTTTCTAAATAAAACTATACAAGAATAAAGATTATTTTTGGTCACATTTAATAAGCATTAAATCTAATACATGTCTCAAGTATTTTCAATTGTGCCATGCCTGTTTACATTTATGTTTACATTTGTTTACATTCGTCTTTAATGATTGTGATGGAAATTCATATTGTGGAAAGACTTCTCCCAATTTGTCTTTGTGTAAATTAATGTGATTTCTACCCGAGACCCAGACCAGTCATTAATATGTGTAAATGCTCAGCAGACACAACTGTCTCCACCCACAGGAAACCGTGTATTGTCTTAGCTGTCCTCAACTGGATGTTAACTTAGCTCCAGCCTCTGAAACGTCACTCTACTTTGATATGTATGTAACTTGTATTTCTGTATAAATACTCAGAGCTCAGATGCTCTGGGGCAGAGACTAGGAGAAGAGATTCTGGGTCAAGTGGAGTAGAGACATACTGCTGGTTAAGAGGGGCTGTTGGTGTCGGGCCGGGGCAGGCCTAGGTCCTGTCCATATCTGCTGTAACAAGAATAAACCTTGGTCTATATTCCAAAAACCCATAGGGTTTCGTAAATGGATTAATTATGTTTTTCTTCAAGATCTACATATTTTTCTCTACAACATGGTTTTAAGGCAGGATCTAAATAATATATGTTGTATGTAAGTGAGTGAGTGTTGGTGGTGGTCAGAGGGGTTGTCTGACTAGAGTTTGATATCACAGAGTATGGAGGGAATATATAATGCAATGCATTTTGACAGGTGCAGTATAAATCTGGTGCATTACATTGCAAGCACATAGCACATAATAAAATTTACATTTAGTTTTGTCAATATAGTGTTTCCATCTCTGCTTATGTAAGCAGATAATAATTCCAGTCAAACACTCTGAAGCCAATGTATGGCTTTCATATGACCTCACAACATTTGATAGGCTTATAATATTTAATTAAATTAATTTAACTAAAACATAATTACAGTTAGAGGAGTTTTTTTTTGTATTTTGTCCATGTTGTACTAGTATTTCATCTCAGCTTATACCACCTCTGCTTGTGAAGAAATTGCCTCACCGTCTTGGCTGCAGGCTCCGAACATTTTGATGACGTGAGGGTGATTGACCTGCTTCAGTAAAGTGAACTCCGACAGCAGGTCCCGTAACTCACTGTGAGAGGCGTTTTCTATTAGACAAAGAGACACAGGGTTAAACTGATGAAGACATTCGTCTTTTTGGACATTTATGGATCATATTTCAGATTTGCCGCTCTCTCTGCCTTATGGTTGAAAGACGAAATGCAAAATGTCACAATTAGCAAATTGTAAAGCTTGTAATTATTCAGTAAAATGATGCAGAGAATAAAATGTCCTATTTTCATGCAGTCCACGTGTAAAAGCTGCTACAAATATAAAATGCATTCTTGTAATTAATCAGTTCATGTTTCAGTGTTCCCAGAATTGTTTATGCTCCTGGCAGTGTTTTAACATGCTCTGATAACTAAATATTGATTAACTATAGGTGGCATTGGCAAAAACAATATATTTGTAACACCCCAATTACTATATTCAGAAAATATTATGACAATCGATCTGAAATGTGATAAAATGTATTTGTAAATGTTATGGCTGATATTCAAGATTCAAGATTCATGTATGGACAAGAAAATTAACCACAAAATTGCAGAAATATCACTTTCAAACTTAAGCTAAAGATTAGTATTACACTGCCACACTGTGTTTTTGTCCTTTCAATTTACAGTCAGCTAATTTGGTAATACTTTTAAATATATATATTTTTTATTATGGCTGCTATGTTCAAAACAGCAGTTGCAATATTGTAAATTTTTCTGATTATACACCCCATTCTGTAATCTGGAAAAAAGTATTAAAAATCTGTTGCAAAACTAGTCTCCAAAAATTGTCTGTCTCACCTTTGAGCATTTTCACAGCCACAGTTGTGTATCCGGCTTTTCCTTTCAGCCTGAATGCCGTTGCCTTGACAACCTTCCCAAACTCTCCCTCTCCCAGAGTCTTCCCCAGCACAAGGTTTTTACGTGGAAACTCCCACTTCGGATCCTCCTGGAAAACACATGTTACCAGTTAGAATTACTACAGCCTAGAACGCTACAACTTCCAACTCAGGTATACAGCAAAAAACTGCATTAGATGACATAGATAAAATTCTGAGACACTGTATTTCATGAGTTTCAGAAATGTTATTATAAAAAAACAAAAAAAAAAGCATCTTAATTAAAAAATATTTCTAACAATTGTACAAGATTATCATTTTTTCAAATTCTGCCTTTGACACGTTTAAATGTAACTGGCTTTCAGTATTATTTTCTAAGAATAAAACAATACAGACTACCTTAAACTGCACCTGATACCTTCTTATTGAGGAGAGAGAGAGAACTGCCCTGCTACTACGCTGCTATTTTAGGTTATAATAAAAAACAACCACTCACAGGTATTTTGAAGGTATCAGTTTCGATGGACTCCTGGGAGCCTCTGCGGACATTGTTAGCGGGGAAGCTGATGGGATAGGCCTGGGCTGGTCTCCTGAAGGTCATCTCTGCAGAGGCGATGGGCGGTTTGGGAGAGTTCTTGTGGTATCGGTGGATGAAGTAAGAGGAGAGGAGGATGGACACGATGAAGGAGAGGAGCAGAGCAGTCGCGATGATGGTTTTACACATGTCGTCACATATTGCCACTGGAGCAAAACAAAAAATACAGTTATTACAATTAGGAAGAGTCTGTTGATAATTTTACAGATTTACTGGGAGTATATGAATGCACCCAGGCAACTATGTAGATGTCATTAACAACAAGAACATTTTCAAGATACTAAATGTTGGAGGGGATGGAGAGTCTGCCACCTGTTTGTCTCCATGGTGTTTTTGCTTTGCCTGGAATAATGTTCAACAGTAAAGCATTTAACTTTGCAATTCCCATGAAGATATGACAGTGCCAGGGCCAAGTTACAGGTCAGATCTGTGGAGTAGTGACTAGTGTTACAGGGCCTGTTTACACAAGAATGCTTGCAGGTAAAAACGTTAAAATATTTTATTGGACATGCCTTTCGTTTAGACAGTGACAGAGTTTTTGGGGCTTATAAACGCAAAACTCTGAAACCACCCTCCAGAGCGGAAAAGTTGAATAAGCTCTGCCGTAATGTTTCCGTCTACACTGCCCAAGACGCAAAACTCTGGTCAGATCTGCTCACGTCGCATACGTGTTTACGTCACATACATCATCACCTAACATCACCACCTAGCCGCCTGGCATGCATACCTGATCGAATTCCACACACTTTTGCGTCACTGTACGCACACAGATTTCCTCCCAAAAACGCTCGTTTAAATGCGGAATAAAAAGTGAAGACGCGACGCCTCTTTTGTCTTCTGTTCAGACCGTCATCATATAAACATAGTCATAGTATTTGAGAATGGTCTTGGTCTCGATACCGGCCTCGAGACGTTTTTGAAATGTGCTCGAACTCGAGCACATTTGGACTCGGTCTTGTCTCAGTCTTGAAGGCATTTGGACTTGGCCTTGCCTGGAACTCAAGGCCTGACACTCGATGAGTGGGATCATATTTTGTTTCGGCTGCTGCAATAAACTTGTACCAGTGTGCAGGAGCATGCGGGGCTTCTCACTGCAGACTGTGCGCTCATTTGGGGCCTGCGGACAAAAAAAAAAATAAAAGACTACCCACTTCCTTCACTTTGAAGCAGTTTTCTGTTAAGTGCCAATATAAGTTCTCTTAAAGAAGGGGTTCTCAAACAGTGGGAGAGGGTCCAAAAAAGGGCAGAGAGTGTTTCAGTGCAGTACAGTTTGCTTGGCTTATTTAAGCTTAAATTAACATTAATCAGATAAAATGGAGATAGATAAAACATTGATACATACAGTATGTACCAAAATAACTGTAAAACACAAATAAATGTAGAAAATGACAAAGATGGTCTCAAACTAGTCTTGATGGGCCGTGGTCTCGGTCTTGTCTCGGTCTCGACCTTTAAATATCTCAATCTTGTCTCAGTCTCAACCCTCAGAGACCTTGGTCTCGGTCTCGGGACCCTGTGGTCTCGGACTGGTCTTGGTCTCAATTAGTGTGGTCTTGACTACAACACCAGTAGCGACCTTGCTTACAGTATGCTTAAAAAAGCGTCTTTGAAGTCAATATTTCAGGTGAGGTGAGACTTTATGACAAAAAACAAAACAAACATATTATCCTTTTGGTTGTTATAATTTCTGGTAATGTAATGTATAATATTTGAAACTGAGTTTATGATGCATATTCTACTCAATTCAGTTTATCTTTAATAAGAGTAAGAATATTTTCTTTTAATGGCAACTCACTCCAAACAACAATTCAGTGGTTTTGTACTGACCCTCATCATCCTCTTTCTCACAGAAGCACCTCTCTGTGAGGCAGTAGCAGGTCCCGTACCCCGCCTGGATCCCATCACGAATCCCACGCTCATGTCCGCCCACCACTGGACCCTCTGTACCGCCAGACAAACAGGTTACATCATAGTCACATCAGATTTATCCAAACTACACAGCTCTAAATGTTCCTCACTTGTGCAGTCTTGGGGGCAGATGGAGGGGTCTTTGCTTTCGACAGCGTCACAGAAACTATCGGGGCATGTTCGCAGGTCTGGAGAGCAGGTGGAGTACGATTCTGAAATCCCTGCGATAAAAAAGATAAATAATATTATTACACAATTTCTAACAATAACCATTTGTCTATTAGGATTAAGCAAACAAGTAAAAGCAACTCAGCACTGAAGCATTGAAAAAGCACAACTGTTGCCAGCAGAGGACGTGAGGACTCCAGCTCTAGGCGTACAGAGCTGTCTAAATGAGGCAATAACTATTAAAAATGCAGAATGGGTCAATTAGCAACTGTAGCAACTGTAAAAACATTGGATCTTAGTAAGTGTAACTGTTAGGATTGCTTAGTAAGTAGTAGTGAGTTAGCTGGGTCTGGAAGGCAACTCCAGATATGTTTTGATGAGGAAAAAGATCATATTATAATAAAAAAAAGTCAAGAACACTGAGGCTGGAGTAAAGACAGTACCTCTCTCTTTGCCCTGTCTCCATTGGCACCTCCCGTTGGTTGCTCCTAACCCTCTCACTGATTCACACTCTCCACGACGCTTGTTTCCGGCGCAAGACGAGAACTCCTGAGTCTCCTGAAGAGATTTACTGGCTGTGGATGAAAAACAAACGAGAAATTGGTAACTACTGTACTGACAAATACAGATATTTATTTAAACTTTTGGTAGATATATACGATCTGATAGATGTAATTAATGTGATTTGGTGGATGTTAAAAGGGCACATTCTACATCCATAGAGTTTTCCAGGGGTTTACTGACAAAAAACATCACCACTAATAATGCATTTGTGTATCACATTCATATAAGCAACCTGAAATAAGTGCCTTGCCCAAGGACACAACAACAGCATGGTTAAATCTGGAATCAAACCTTTCCAACCTTACACTAGTAAAAGTCATATGTAAGTTCAAACTACTTGAATTTATATTATCTTGATTTCAGCAGACTTGAAAATAGACTTAGACTTAAAAAGTAAATAATAAATAGACTTAAGAGTTAAAAGTTAAAAGTAAAAAACTTAAACTTAAATCTTAAAAGTAAAAACTTAAAAGTAAATGGTAAATAGTAAACAGACTTTAAAAATCTACCAATGGAGTAGCATATTTTTTTCTTAATTCAAGCAGAATAATACATTTTTAATAATAATAATAATAATTTTAATAATAAGACATACTGTTTGTAATATTAATAATTTCATCTGTCAAGTAAATATTTAGCAATCTAATAATGTAGTATTTTCCTGTTTTATATATCGGTATTATAAAATGTTGAGACACTCACCATCTCCTTCCAGTGTGATGAGGATCTGCGTGCTGGCCTCCTCCTGAGTGTGCTCCTCTTGTGCGATCACAGTGTAGAGCAGCTCGCGACACTCGGGACGTCCCAGGGGGTCTGTGTCATTAACAAACAGTAGCCCCCAGCGCTCCTCCTCGCCCTGGGCCACACTCACCGCACTGTAGCAGGACAGAAGGCTCGAGGACAGGTTACGATCAGGGACCTCCAAACGATACGAGACTCCGAAACCGTCAAACTCAGGGCAGTTATCCACGCACACTCTGCCAACCTGGAAACAGAGCAATTACATAATTAGTGAATCTGACAAGCTGAAGGGTATGTATTTGATTTAGATCTGTCTATAGCAGGGGTTTTCAAATTGGGTGAATGTGAGCCTCCCCTTAGAGTAGGTAAAGACAGCCAATCCCATCCGCCTGCATTACCCGACACAGGCAAGTAAATGCATCTTTTGTGTTCCTGCAATGATGAGTTTCAGTAACAACTGATAATATATTTTTTTAAAATATTGTATTTTCATATATTTTTAAAAGTGCAGTCATAAACGATTTTTGCAACGGCAAATAATTTCCAATTTCATGCAGGCCTAATTGAAGTGACTTTTAACATCACTGAATATCAGTAGGTCACCAGGTCTAAACCAAGACTAAACCAGAACTAAACCAGGTCTAAAAGAGGTCTAAACCAGAACTAAATCAGGACTAATCTTGGACTTGAGAGAGAGAGGGAGAACCCCTGAGTCCACAGAGCAGGGTGTCCACAAAGCATGATGGGGCGAGGGCTGCGCTTAGCTCCATAGGGCACAGAGCTCTGCACTGATCGTTTCGTCCACGATCACCCGGCGGTCGATGCGGGCGCACCTCTGGGCCAGACCTGACACTTAGTCCTGATTCAGTTCTGGTTTAGTCCTGATTTAGTCCTGTTTTAGTCCTAGTTCAGTCCTGGTTTAGTCCTGCTGGTTCAGTCCAGGGATCAGTCTTGGTTTAGTCCGCGTGTGTCGCACCTCCCTAGTGGCTCTTTGGCCTCACCTATTGAAAATCGCTGGTCTATAGGTTGTTGAGTGATGCAAAATTAGGACAGTTTCCATAGTACTTAATACAGAAATTATTCATCGGTGCACTATGTAATCTTCCGGTGGAGGTCGGCCACTTGTTACTTTCTATTAAGATGTTGTTTTTTGTTGTTGTTCTGGAAAGTTTTTTTTTTTTTTGCTCAAAAATAATTTAAAAAACCTGCATTATTACTGTGTTCTTGGCATCCTCTCCATGGACCTGCCCTGAAAATTTGACTCATGGTGCCACCCACCTCTTTCCATGAAAATTTAATGCCAAAGTTTAATGCCATACTGTGGAACATTCTACGCAACATCAATGGAGACAATAATTCTACTGATTCTTCTCAACAGTGATGACAGTGCATATCTATAATTTTCTACATGGCTTAAAAATGTATGTATGTTAATTTTCATATTTTTCATTCATTCTCATTTTTCCAGTCATCCTCACCTGTGCATAGACTGATGCTCTTCGTGACACTGTGAACACCTGTGTGACGTTGGGGAACAGGATCTGCACAGGTAAAATGGTGACGTTGAAGTGAAGCAGGACGGTCCCTCTGAGACCTGGGTACGTTGTGTCATTCACCAAATAATGTAACTGCACCGAGCGGTTCTCATTCACAAACAGACTCCTCTTCAGCACCAGCTCTGTCACACAAAATAAGATTATACACAAACTTTAGTAAATTATGTTTCACACTTTGAGGGATGTTTAAAGTTAGATATTATATAACATTTTCTTTTACACACAACCATTACCTAACTATGGTAAAGCAACATTTGTGTTCTGGAGGTGGAACATCCCCTGCTTGATTCACTTAATTTGGAACATCCACCGTGGATATGTTTTATGCCAGACTTGGATATTGTGCAAGCTCCCAGTCCACATTCTGCCCTTTGGTTGACTCTGACTGGCCCGTTTAAGCTCATTTGGAATGACAAAATAAACATATTTTATGATTTTGCCTCATGAATGGATTAAAGCTGCATTGCTTTTATTTTAGAGGTGTTTTTTATATGACATTTTTTATAAAGCAACCTCACTTTTTCCATTGATTAGTCTTACCAGCTCATCAAAACAATGCTATTTACTGCCTTTTTTTTAAAAAGAAATCCAATTAATATTATGCAGAATTAAACAATTTGGCCCGGCCCCCCACAATATTTTCTGTTTCTCATGTGGCCCCATGGAATAAATACCTGCCCATCCCTGCTCTGTATCATACTGTCTAGTATTATAGCCAAAGAAACAACATTTCCAAGCAGAGGGAGGCTGAGGTTAGTCACACAGAGCCTCAGACAGAGCAGTGCCCTTAGTTACCATCACACCTCCAGGGAATGTTGATGCTATCAGCTGCAAAGTATCAATACTGTTGTTTTAAACCAGCAGACATGCATGTCACAGCTGTTACCTTTAATCTTCACAGTTATTATTTGATTATTTTTGTGGACTTACGGTAATCATGAACCGTTTCCCTGATTCCTCCCAGAGCATTTTTCTTTTCCCTGAACGTTCCCTTCAGGTCAAATGTTTCTTTCATCCAGGGATCACTGTTGAGCGACGTCCAAACATATTTGTTCTGTCTCTGGTCTGGGTAGATGGGCGTCAGGTCTCTGTCATACACATACAAGGTCCCAAAAGAACCTCCCTGGAAAAAAAATACAAGCAGAAAAGTATCAAGGTAAGTATAAAGTTACATTTTCCATTTTGTAGCGTCTATATATAGCCTTTAATACTTTAATTCAATTTATTTTCATATAGCCCATTATCACAATAGCAATCTCTTCACATAGCATTGCAAAACTGTAAATTTGCCCAAAAGAAAATAGTTGAAATGAAACAATAAAGCATCAATTAATTTTCTAGTCATCTGTATTCACGTACTCAAATGAAGAGGATTTGACCAGCCCCGGAAATTAGACTGCGCAGCTACAATTAAGTTTGGTAGACATAAAATGATCTAGGTACTTTACTTAAAACTATAAATAAAATAATCTATCATTATTTATTGTTTATTCAGTGCTGGAATGGAGCTGCAGGGAAATAGGTTGAATAAACTTAATGATGATCAAAAAGTTTTGCCCTTGTTTAGACCTGGTTCAGTCCTGGTTAATTCCAAGTTCAGATAAGATAGTGTAGACTTTTTTTTTTAAGTTAAATTGCTTATGGAGTTCACTAATTGCTAAGAACAATTCCTAAGATGGCATTAAAAGAATAATCATACCATGACAAAATAATAAAAGATTTTACAGCGACTTCATTTGTGTCCTGGTTTCTCACCTTAGTTCTGTTGTAGCTGATGGTGATCTCTGCTGTGTCTGTTCCGTTGATGAAGGGGGCATTATCGTCTTCATCGTTGACGAAGACTTCGAGAGGGGTCTCCAGTTTAGTGATGACTGAGTCGGTCCTGATGGTGCAGAGGAGCAGCAGTCGATACCGCTCATTCTCCTCGCGGTCCAGCGGCGCCGTCACAACCAGCTCCCAGGTCGAGTCATTCACAGCAAAAGGAGCAGGAAACTCTAAACAACAGATGAAGATTTAGATCAGGGTTTGGGCTATACACTTTATACAACAATATAAAACTCTTCTACTAAGGTTTTGTCAACACAGTTCACCATTAGACTCATGTAAACGTGTTTTTAAATGATCAGAATCAGAATTTTTGTACCAGAAATCAACATGGATCTCATTCATTCTCCATGGAAATAGATATTTTTTTTTGCCATACTGTGGAAAATTACAGCTAAAGGAACAACATTTCCATGGACAAAGGTAGAAGCCCTCCTCCAGAGTGAAGTGTCTGTCGAAGTGCAAGCCCACTCACAGTAAGTGCAATAAAAGCACCCAACATTTTAAAAAAGCTCAAATGCTATTGTTATGCCTACTGTTTGGATAAAAAGTTCAACAGTGGGGCTTTAATAGAAAGTGACAACAACAGTGATGATATGAAGTTATCCATAGCTCTCACCTGACTCCACATTGTAGGTGATGGTGTAGTTGGGGCACACCCCGGCTCTGCTCAGCCTCCTGAGCTGCCTCACAGCACCGGGATACCTGTTCTCCATGATGTGAGGGATAGAGGCGTCTCTGTGAGGAAAGCACAACTCTTTAAAGTCCGTCTGTCCACACTGAGGTACAGAGGCATTCACAAAATCCAGAACGATCCGAGCGGTTTTCTTGTTTCCACACTGAGTTCGACTGGAGCTAGAGGGCAGCACCATCGTCCTCAAGACCAGCTTCTGTACTGACCAAAGCTTCTGATCTGTGGAGAGAGGGAAAGAATTAATTAAGGTAATAAGAGCTGTGTATGGTGTACACTGACAGGGGCAGAAGTATTTCTTTGTAGGTCAGATGGTGTTTTCATCAAAATAATCCAAAAGTAATTCTGAAATCTATGGATAAGAGGATTGGCAGAGCTTTATAATTGGTCTGATTCAGGCAAATGGGAACACATCTGTTTTTTGAACTTTCATAGGCTCATTACTGTGTAGACTCTGCACACCTGACTGGGCAACAGATGCGTTGGAGGAGAGGCACTTAGCTGTTTTAAAAAAAAAACTCCAACACACTGTCTCACTCTTGATTTTTCTTTTATTAGTTTTATTAAGTTCATTTCGGTGTCTCAGACCTTCCTCAGGTAACTTTCATAGGAAAATTTGTCAAAACTATCAAATAGAAGTGATTTTACAAAATTGCACAGTGAGTTCCAAATATTTCCTTGTTATTTTCATATACAATTTGAAAATACATTTGTTGGTTGCAATTTACTTGACTTAATAACAATTTTGAAGTGAGCAGCAAAGACATTCATTCATTTGTCAAAAAGGAATGGGAGACATAACTTGATACCCCACACTTTAAATGTCTTTTAAAGAGTTGTTGTGACAAATAAAAAATTTAAAGGTGCACTGGATAACTCTGCTGGGTCATCTCCTTGCTTCACAGTATGGCATTAAACTTATTTATGTAGCTTTTTTCTATGAGAGGTGTTTTTATTGAACAAAAATACCTTGAAAAACATTCTCCAGATCTGACCTGAAACTTGGTCTGGTGGCATCAACTGCTAGTCTCATCGGAAATAGATAGATTTAATGCCATACTGAAAACAAAAACTGATAACAAAAAAAAACAAACAACAACTATAAACTGATAACACATTCAGAATATACAGTACTAGACTAGATGGTAGGGCTAGTCTTAAAAATTGACAAACTATTGAAATATGATCTGACAAGAATCGCACACAGTACATGTTTTTACAAATCGAACTATATTTGTATGCAGAATAAGACAAGATATTTTGTTGTTCGTGGAGGAAATTAGGGTACTGTAAAAACTGTAGTCTTTTGCGATTTCAGTTTGATTGCAGTGAATCTTGCCGCCCTCCTACATGAGTTTCTCTGTCAATATAAAAGCCAAACTATTTGCCCCACATATCTTGTATAATGAACTCGATGACCCACTTTAAGTGTTGCGTTTAAGGAGCCCAGCCAAAACAATCAGAAGAAGCCTTTCATCCTAAAGTACTTTTCCTGATGACTCTGCAGTTTTTACAGAATTTAATCACATTATCATCCAAAGTATAGACCTATAGCCAAGAATACAGCATAAATGTCATGACTAGATTTACTCCCATGTTAGCAACAAGCAAAAAGCATGCTACAAGACCTTAATAATATACTATGGACGTATATACACTAAAATTAAGGCTATGCAAGCTTCTTTAAAATGTGGATGTATTAAATATCTATCCATAGTTTTATTGCAGACAGTAAATTGCAATTGGCACAGTGCACTTAGTAGAAATCACGACTGCTGACTCAGGTCTACACTGTGGTTAGAAAGGGAAGCCAAAATAAAAAAAATAAACAAGAGGAGCAGAAATTTGGAAATTCAGACCAAGAAAGATACCATTACACATTAAAGAGGATGGACTTGACATTTTAAAACTTTCTCTTAAATGGTTCTCCTCAAAAACGTTCCATAAGAAGACCACCTAAGATGATTCATTCAAAATTATATCATTAAATTGAAGGATTGATTACTTTTTAAATGTTACATTGGCCTACATTAGTTACATTGGAGTTATATGGCCTTTTATAACATCCAAAGTGCTTTACATTGCATTTTTTCTTCACTGTAGCCACAGCTGGCCGGGGCAGTTTAACAGAGGCAATGCTACCAGTCTGCTCCATCGGTCCTTCTGACCAACATCAATCCCGTTTTCACACACCCCTGCTTTAGGCAATGTGGGTGAATTGCCTTGCCTAAGAACACAGTTTCCAGTCTAGTTTAGTTTCCAATAGAGCAGGGATCTCCAATCTTTTTTATTTTTTACTTTTACAAAACCAAAATGTCAGAGAGCTACTAATTTCAGCGCTTGCTACAAATTAAATAACTATAAGAGCCACAGCAGAACTTAAATGTGGAATAGTTAGACACCTACAAAACATAAAATATTATCCATTTATTAGCGCACATCTGTAGGAATAAAAATGCTACATTTACAGTGGCAATTAATCATATTTTAGTTATCCAGCAGCAGCACAATACATATAATTCAGAAATCCCTTGTGAACTACTTTGAAGGGGTTGAGAGCTACTGGTAGCTTTTGAGATATTGGTTGGAAACCCCTAGTCTGATTCATCAGACGGTTTCACTTTGTGGAATCCATCTGACCTCGCAGCATTAGGATTTGTTCATTCGACAGTAGGCAGGAACTTCAGTCATTTAACCAATCACTGCTATTTGGTCCTGATGTATATGTAATGTGCCAAATCCTGTAGGAAGAAGGGCAAAAACATCTTTCTCCTTGATAAAATTCAACAAACATTGTCTTTGTTTGAGCTTTAAATCCTCGATCTCGGAAATCGTTGCCAACACAGAATGTATGTCTTCGTCTACATCCATCTCGACCACTTTGTTTACTGTTGCTGTACCACAAACGGGACCCAGACAGGAGCTTGAGTTTGATGTCATGACTTCACAGCTCTTCACTGATGTGCCGAAGCGCTGTCTACAACTTCCAGGGTTCTTGCAAACCGTCTAGTTTATTCTGATTCCTGACCTAGTCACTGGAGAGAAATGAAATTGAGTGGAGGCACTAGGTGGTGCCAGCCTGGCTAACAGACCCCTGCCCTAGAGCTGCTGCTGCCCCATTGTGCTTCCTTGGATTCCTAGTGGTCTCCCATACAACACTAACCAGACACAACCCTGCTATCCCTTCAGAATCAGATAAGATCAGGCATCTCATCTGGTATGGCTGCATGAAGTACATGATTTGGTCCAATAAAAGCATAATTGACAAATATATGTATTATTGATCCTTACTGAGCAGTGCAAAGTCGCTCTCCTCCAGCGTCTTGTTGAGGGACAGGACCCCGGTGTGGAGGTCCATGGTGAACCAGGAGCTGTAGACTTTAGGAGTGCCGGTCCAGCACAGGTAAAAGTGCGGCCGCTCTGTGTCACTGTCCAGGAGAGAGTGGAGCTGGAGGAGGGGGGTCCCGGCAGGCTGCCCCACGTACACCGTCTCTGTGTACTCAGTCTGAGGGAAGTACAGGCAAAAGGCTCCTAAAGAGACCATAAGAAAAGGAGTCAATATTTTAAAGTACTTAAATACATGTTGATGAATGTTGAAATCAAGTAAGAGAAGATATGGGGAACCAAACATACAAAAAAATTCCAAAGGATTAAGGAGAATTTTACTACCCCTGTAGTGAAATTTATCCACTCATTAGTCCATATTTAACCTATATTTCAGTGCAAAATGTCAAGAGTATTGTAAGAGTTTTGGACTAAAAACTGCACATTCAAATTTATTTATTTATTTATTATTTACATACTTTCATGCCAACCTATTCCTTAGTCTTCCAGTAGTGGCACTCTCTGCTTAGTGAGGTAGATTTTATGGACCGAGAGGCATCGTTTATCATCATAATAATAATGCATCAGTTTTATATAGCGCTTTTCTGGACACTCAAAGACGCTTTATAGGGACTCAGACATTTTCAACCCAATATTTATTTATGGTAATTATAATTGGACATTGGACAGTCCAAAAAACACCACAACAAGCAGCAACTTCTGACAGAACTCATCACTAAAGCCCTAATAAAACAAACATCTTTATTTTCAAAATAATTTCAGTAAATAATTATAGCTTAGCTTAAGGCTGAGCAATTAATTGAATTTTGATCATGGATTTGTTTCTCCAAATTTGTGTGTCAAACCTTATTCCTTGTAGCATGTTCTAGTATATTTTTGTTCATTTTATGTTTTATACATCGCAAAACTGCTCTAAGCTTCACATTTATAGCCTATATTTATTTTCAATTTGAAAGTTTTACATAAGTTATCAGTAACAAAGTGTTTTTTGGAGAGAGAGAATTGCTGAATAAATGCGTTGTGTAACAAAAAAAAAATCGTGGTTTCAATATTGACCAAAATAATCATAATAATGAATTTTTCCATAATTGAGCAGCCTTAGTTTAGCTGTATAGTTCAAGAAACGCTACAAGTTTCAACAAGCTTATAACTGCTGTAATTAATCTTATAAAATAAATAATAACATTGCTAAGTCATATTTCACTGTAAAATGTGTTGAAATACACATAAAACATTAAATTACATAAAATTACAGTTGAAGCCATATGGTAAAACAGGAAGTAGTTTTTATCTCTTTCTTCTTTCTTCATATCCTCTCCATAAATCACACCCCCCCTAAAACCACAGCGCTCTGATCGTGTGAGTGACAGGTGCGATGTGTTCTGTCTTTGTTAGCGGAAATGCTGCGTCTCGAATGACACTTAAGCAGCGCTTTTAATGAATTTCTCACTGGGTCGATGGCACTGGTTTCCGGTTCTCCTTATGTTCACCTTGAGATGTTTAATTACATGGATATAACAGATAACATGATACTGGACTGGAATGAGTCATTAGGAGAGACACGTGCTGTTAAAGTCAACATTAGAGATTGATCCATTTATCAGGCCACTATTTGCGCTTTGAGTCCATCAAATGCTTTTCTCTGTAGAGATGTTATTGCTCCATCTGGAATGTTTCACCATATGGTAGGGATGTAACAATATCAAAATCTCTCGATACAATATTTTCATGCTATGCACCTCATCCTTTGATATTTATTTCCTTTTAAAAGCCTTGGAAAAGCCTTAAAGCACCTTGTACTATTATAATATGAAGAATTAAGATTTAAAAGTGCTTATTTCTTCATGTAGTCTGCACTGACAACACAAGAGGATCATGGTCTATGTAGTTCCCCCTGTTTTTTAGCTATTGCTACACCAAGGCAAGGCAAGGCAAATTTATTCATATGGAACAGTTCATACACAATGTAATTCAAAGTGCTTTACAGAATAAAAAAGACAATAAAATCACCCTAACTATAAATGTAAGCAAAAAAGACTTGTAATTCGATATATCGTGATGGTCTCCTATATTATTGTGAGACTTCTGATGAAACGATATCATGATATTTTGGTTATTGTTACATCACTACTGTATGGTATTAAACCTCTCTATCTTCATGGTGACCAAACCAGACCAAGTTACAGGTCAGATCTGTGATGAGGCAATGCCGCTCACAGTCAGAATACTTGTTTTGTAGGTATTTTTGAGCTATAAAACCACCAGTAATTTAATAAATGTAAGGTAGATCTGTTTAAAGTCATACTGTGGAACATTCTAGGCACAGCAATGACATATGTATAGAAACAAGCACCTCTTAGCCACCACTCCAGTGTTAGTATTATTTAATTTCATTTCATTTCATTTACATTAAGTTAATTACATCACAATAATAATAATAATAATTTAATTCATTTATTTAGACTTATATTCTAATTTGGGTGCACATGTTTTAGTATAAGTCTGAATTGTTTACTTACACTTGCTCTTTCTTTTTGTTTCTTTGAGTGGCCAGACGGAGGACCCTTGGCAGAAACCATCCACACCGAACAAAGGGGGAGCACTATTTAGTTTGTTTTACTAAGTTCAGTTGTCTAGTTTGTTTAAGTTCACTTTATTACCACTTATTATTTTCTGTATTGCACTTATTTGTCTTTTTGTTACTTTGATTATGTTAGTAGTTTTAGTTCATTATTTAGTGTAATTCCCCCCTCTTGTGTTTAGCTTTAGTTGGTCCTCATGTATTTAAACACTTGTGTTCTTTGTCTGGTTGGGTTTGTTTTGTTCTGTTCCGTTTGATTTAAGTTTCCCCAGTTGGGCCCAGCTTTTTTGTTAACGATTTACCTAATTTGAGCCTTTGTTAAATTATCTCTTTTTTGACTTTATTAAATTTAAACTTATTTTTATACCTTGTCTTTGCCTTTCTGTTTGGTCCACTACACCCCCAACCAAAAATGGACATAATGAACCTTTAAATCTCCAGCAGAGGTCCATAATTTGTTTGAAGCTTCATTTGAATTTGAATATTTTAGGGTGAAGAGGAGTCAACAAAGGTGACTACACAGCTCTCTTATCCAATTTGCATTAAAACAGGTTGACAGAGGAGTTTGTAATCCAAATCTGCACTAAATATCGGCTAAAAAATAGTCATGGCAGACCTTTTTTCTGGATTCTAAACAATCAGCTTGGTGAAAAAAAAAAAATTGGTCAATCTCTAGTCAGCATGTAGACCTAAGACTTAAATGTGTTCTAAATATTTGGTCTTACTCTTTGATATCCAACATTATGGTGCAATACTCTCATAATATTGAGTCATAGATAGCACAAAATTGAGTGGGATATTGTGGGAAGATTGACATTTTCTCTAAAAATGCTCTGAATTATGGGTGGGTGATACACAAAAAAACAATCACAAGATTAGTTTTATCACAAATCATGCTGTCTTTACCAAAAAACATACAATTATCTGATTCCTCTGAGAGTTAAATCCCTCTGACCAATACAAGGAGGTGTGTGAACATAAAGAAGCATTAAACAAAAACGGACGGAGAATCAAGAAATCATATCATCCAGCCTCGCTCTGAAGAAAAAATGAGGCAGTTCAAAAAGGTAAAATGATCCGAACAAGTCTGCTAAAGGTGTATGGAAATCGTCTTCTCTGTCAGCATAAATAAACAAAAGTGATGATAGCTTCAGGAAGTGATGCCATTACTCAACCCCAAAGACAATACTGTTGTCAGTCTGAAGATTTATAGAGCAAATTCCCTCTGGATCATTTTTGGCAATTTCTTTCAAAAACATAAAATCTCCCATAGAGTTTTCAGATCATGACTAAACCAGGACTAAGCCAGGACGTACCAGGACTTAATCCAGACAAACCAGGACTGAACCAGGACTAAATCAGAACTGACCCAGGTCTACACCAGAACTAAACCAGGACTTAACCCAGACATACAACAACTGAGCCAGGTCTATACCAGAACTAAACCAGGACTTAACTCAGACAAACCAGGACTGATCCAGGACTGACCCAGGACTGCACCAGGATTAAACCAGGACTAAAGATGGATTAAACCAGTACTAAACCAGGATTTAACACGGACAAACCAGGACTAAACCAGGACAGACCCAGGACTGAACCAAGACTAAACCAGGACTAAGTCAGGACTAAACCAGGACTGAACCAGAACTGACCCAGGGCTGACCCCGGACTGAACCAGGACTAAAGCCAGACAAAACCAGTACTAAACCAGGACTTAACCAGATAAACCAGGACTAAATCAGGACTGAACCAGGACTAAACCAGGACTAAACTAGTACTAAACCAGGATGAGCCAGGACTAAACCAGAACTTAACCTAGACAATCCAGGACTAAACCAGGACTGACCCAGGACTGAACCAGGACTGAACCAGGACTAAATGAGGCATCCAGTGTCTTTGCATTAGTGTGTTTATATTTGTGGTATGTTTCTCTTGGTGATGTGACCCTCTTGAGCAGCGTGACTGAACCATCAGGGACCACACTAAAGTCATTATCACAAAACCAAACCTGATTTTCTATTTCTGCAGCAGCGTTTGCTCCAGCTCTGGTTGAGATTTGATTTGTGGAGATGACAGGAGCTGCTCGGACGGATCACATGAGCCTGTTTTCATATGGCATAAAGATTTACTAGGGCTTTTTATTAAACAAATATTGAAATGGGAACTAAAATAAGAAGCTAGTTTGAGGCAGGAGAAAAAAAGAATTAAAGGTGCATTATGTAAATTTTTCTGGTTGGAGATCTACTGCCTGCTTATATCCACAGAGATGTTATTTCTGATGTTATTACTATGCCTACACTGCAAAAAAGCTTGGCCAAAATTTAGGATATAAACATTTAAATCTATCAGAAAATGACAAATGGATGGATGGAAGTTATCGTAAAATAAACGACCTCACTAGAATTAAACAGGTTTAGTAAGTCGATAATAAATCTGAAAACAAGATGAATAACCTGATATAAGTTTTAAAATCTTGGCCAGATCAGAGAAATTTTCAGTGTAGAATGTTCTGCAGTATTGTATTAAGCAAATATTTCTCCACTAAGACAAGCAGGTCGTGCCATGAGACCAAGTTACAGGCAAAATCTGTGAAGAGGCGAGCCTG